CAACGGACTGCAGTTTAAAATTTCTGGTTTAGAATGTGTAATTTGTTGATTAGGCTTTATTAATATTTATTTTCATGTGTTGTATGTATTATTGTTTAAAAAAAATAGTATTTCTTATAATATAATTTCCAATGTTTTTTTTTTCTTTAGTTTTATAATAAAGTTTTCTTTATTATATTATATTGCAATAACAGCTGGAAATTATAAGGCATTTTTCTGGCCTTGTTGTTGAGCTCTGGCAGAGAGAAGTTCAACAATTCAGAAAATATTGGCTAAATGTTTCTAGTTTGGCTTTCTAATGTCTGTACACTGCAAGAGGTCATTATTGTGTGATTTACCTCATCTAATGGAACGTCTAGTTTGCCCATTGGCAAGCTATTGTTAGTTCTCTTGGCCACAAACACATGCCGGACAGACGGACAGCTCTTCACTGCTTTGTCCACCGTGGACTTCAGATCGAAGTGACGGCCGCCCCTAATGCCTTGATCGCATGTGATGACGAACTTGCACTGGGCTGTGTGTATTGGAGAGAAAGATAAAATGAAACAGACACTAGAACAGACATTCACTGACAGTGTACAATTGCTGATACAGCCACTGCACTGATGTGCTTGTTACCACAAACTGGGTGCCAAATTTAGATATGATAGCACTGTATGTGTAAACATAATTAATTTAAGGTCATTTTAAGAAAGCAATTGATAATATTTTTATAGTTTGGAATATTTTAAGAAACCTGTCACAAGTGCTGTCGTTGGACTTTACTTGTTCATATTACATCGAATAAGATCAGAAAGAAACATCTGCTCAGTGTCTGTTTTAATAAATAAGATAAAGACAGGCAGGTCTGAAAACAAACGCCCTCTAAAACTTATCTCTGTTCAGACCATCACATACACATACACATCCCATGATGCTCTTCCTAGGGTTTACAATGCTATAATGTAGCATGAATAAAACATTCATAACATGGAAACACACCTGACTTTTCAGTCAAGCTCAGTATTCCCTGAAAAGCATGCAGGGCTTTTACCAGAATTGAGTAACTAGGAAAGGACTTTAAAGATTAAACCATGTTATGTTCAAACAATTTCAATAGTCAACAATAAACTAAAATTGACTATGTTTATATTTTAAACATGTGCACAACTCATCAGTGCACGTAAGGGGATAAAAAAATCCCCATGTGGCCAAGGTTGAAATAACATGAAAAAAGCTGTTAGTTTAAAAACATCACAATTTGTTTTTTGCATCAATTTGTAGCACTGCTCTAGCAAAAAAAGATTTTACAGCTGGTAAAAAAAGCCCACATTATTTTACTCACCATCCTGAATTCTGCCTGCCAGAGCCTCTGAGCTGAACCCTGCAAACACCACAGTGTGTACGGCACCGATACGGGCACAGGCCAACATCGCTGCTACTGCCATGGGAGACACAGGCATGTAGATGGCCACCCGCTCTCCCCTCTGGACTCCCTGACTCTTCAACGTATTGGCAAGACGACAGGTCATCTCCAGAAGCTCCCTGATATAAAGATATAAACATACAGCTGAGTAACAGGAAATAATGCGGGTGGGAAAGTAATCTGTGATGATTCAGTTTTAAGTGGTTCAAGTGCTGAACATAGTAGTGACATCATGGTCATAATGCACATTGATATCAAACTGCCAGTTTAATGATGTATTTATTTATACTATAATAAAGTACTGGAAAGATTTTGTTGGCCTGCTGAACATATTACGAGGAAACAGTTAATCATCATTCAACGGATCATAAATGAGAAACAGACACGTACAGCCTGCACTACATACGTCACGCCTCAATTTTTTTTTTTTTGATCTTCTCCATATGGTTGTGAGATCAGAATAAAAACACTTTCACTTTCATACTAATGTGAATCAATGTCTTCTAACTTCCTGTTTACGCTTGGAAGCAGGGAAGTGACGCATACAGGCGCTGTGCTAACGGTGAAATCCTTTGCACACATAGACTGATTGTGCAATCTGACTGCTGCTTCACAAAACACAAAATGTTTCCCATCTGACCTAGAACAAGAGATAGTAGGGGAAACTAATCTTCACATCTCTGTAATAAAAGATGAGAAATGGTTCATTTTCAAGGTTCAGTGAGCAGGCTAGATCAGAGCAAACTGGCCTCCTGACCATTGTGTTTTGGTAACAGTGAGGACAGTAGATCCTGTAAATATTTAGCCTGCTGTTAACAGCAGTAATCTGAAACACAGCCAGGAAAATTCAATCCTTACTTCAGGCACTAGAGAGCGGGGGAACTCACATTCCATCACAGGAACCTCAAAACCAGCCTTTGTTCTCCACCAGAAAGTGCATGTGAAGAAATCCAAAAATCTTCAGTTGTGTGCTCTAATACCACGTTAACCCTTTCTATCTCAAACATTATAAAGAACAGTACGAACAAAGGATATTCTTTTTGATATTTGCTAAAGATAGATTGCAATTAATTATCTTATTAATTCAATTATTAGTGTTTTTAAAGTAACTTAACTTTAAGTGAGACTTAAATTATGGCAAAAGAAATCAAAAGGTGGAAACTAGTGGAAATGAGCATATGCATTTGAAAAGAATTCAACAGCAAAATGTGCCATTTGTTCTCAATTCCACTGGAATAGTAACTTGCAGTGTTCTCAATACCTTGTTTTCAATTATTGAAATAAAGCTAAAATATTGATATTGAATGAAAAATATTGAACTAAGTATTTAACTTATACCAAACTTAAAAATATATTGGGAAAAACTAATAAAAATGACAAAAGCACATAACATATTAGTAAAACTTTCAAATTAAAAGGGAAAATATACAATTAAAAGCTTTTATATAGTGGGATATAGTAATCAGAAGCAAAGCAGCCATCATGCTGTGATATGAATGGTGACAAACAGACTACTAGTCAGACTGCTAGTCAATACTTACAATACTCATAATTTTTTTTTTTTTTTTTTTTTTTAAGAAAAGAAACAGCAACAGCAACATAAAAGTTGGTTTAAAAAAACACTTGCAATAACCCTGTATGTAGAAAATGTACAATTGTGGGTGGGGGTTGATAAGGCCACTGGCCACATGTGAATTTCACAGGACAGGAGTCAGGAGCAAATGTACCTGTATGTGATCCTTTCCTCTGTCCCAGGCTCATCTTTCTCCCAAATCAAGGCCACTCTGTCTGGATCCTTTGCCACGTGCACATCCAAACAATTCACTGTCAATCATAAGAGGAATTATTTACTACTGAGCTTACTGCTGACAAAAAAAGTTGTTATTTGTGCAATTACAAAGCATGGGAAAATGTAATGTAATCTCAGTTAATATAAAATACACGCATAACTGTTTTTTCAGATAGAAAGAAATATTGGGAAGTGGAGTAACGTTAACTCAAGAGTAAAGAAAAGGTGCGACTCACCCGAGACATTCAATTGCCCTCCAAGAAACCAGTTGATTTTCCCGCTAGACAGATCACAGTCCGTCACTTGATGGAACGGTTTGGCCCATTTCAATCTTTCCTTGGCGATGGATCCCCAGAAAGTCTCTGGGTCTTTGACTGATAGTTCATATAGATCTCTGTAGGTCTTTCCAGCGAGATGCGAGCTGAGGTCCGGTTGAGCCGCGCTGATGCTGGCGGTGCTGGACTGAGACCTCGCATGACACCGTGAGATGAACACAACACTTTTGTGCAAACATTTCTTGTTTCTAAAGACAATGTTTTCCCTGACCAAAGAAGCCAGCAAGCTTGTGCTCACACGTCCAGCCATTTTCCTGCACAGTCATGTGCTGGAGTGAAGTTTGCTCAAGTTTCCACCACAGCCCGTAACCGTGACTGATCCTCCGAAGAAAGAGAGGGAGGAGGAGACTTGTTGACAAGCTGTGCTGTGCGTTTAACAATATTTTACAACACTGCTATTTCTTTAGACTGGGAGTTTTGAATGTTGCATAATATTGGATTGTAGCCTACGGTCGTCATTGCACTCACTTCACAACCCGAAACGAATGATTCAGAAGACGCTAAACATGTTTTGAAATTATAGTTTCAAAAGCAGCCGTAGCTATATTTGCATATTACCACATATAACGTCTTTATGTCACATAAAAGTGTTATATTATATATTAATATATTATATTATGACATTTGTTTCGCATGACCCTCTGAACGTTGCCTACTCAACTAGACAGGGGAGGGGGGGGGGAGTGTAGAGAGAGAGGAGAATTTAAGGGTTTTATGTAAATAATTATACTAATATAAACATGCTGTAAGCATAATTTGTTTACATTTGTTGATAACTGAACGAGTTATGCACACTGCAGAACATAACTGAGCCACTGTTCATTAAATCCAGAAGCTTCCAGCATATGAGAAATCAGGATATAGTGTGATTAATTATAAAATTACATCTGTAATTTGCAGTAAAATGACCGCCTGGCCAAAACGGAGCAGACTGTAAAGCCGCTTCCCTGAGTGCCGTAGTTTTGACCTGACGCCACATTGTAGGACAACTCGGAAATTCGAATGGGTTCATCTCGGTTCATCTGAGGGGCCTGAGAACATAGATATTCATAATAAAGGCCAGAAGTCTCGTCTGCGCTGCTGGCCAATGGAGGTCGACGTCCGCACCTGGCGGCCATTTTGTCACAGGCAGCTCGCTCAGGCAGCTCGTGATCAGCACGAAAACAAATACTCTTTTCTCTTTGTAATCTTGACGGATTTACAAACGGTTTGGTTTCTTAACGTTATTAACGTGGCTATAATTCTGGGTGATTATTTATTTATATACTTATTATTCATAAGTAGGCAGTGCCATAACAACATCTATGACGTTTCGTTTATTACAAACCAAACCGTTTGAAAATTGGTAGAAAATGGATCAAGTTATGGTTATTTAAGAAGTACAGCTGCCTGTGACAAGATGTCCGCCAGGTGCGGACGTCGCCATGCGCGCGGACGAGTTATCTAGCTTTATTATGGACATCTATGGCTGCAAGGCAGGCTCCGAGAACTCCGATATTACGTAGTAGTTAGAATAGCCAGTCAGGATTCGGGGACGTGACAAATTTCGGAAGCACAGGGCGGAGTTTCACGGCAGTGTTTAGCGGCACGAGAGTTTTTCTGTTTGTTGTTTATGTGAGTAACTGAAACGTTTATGCAAACATTATAGGTCAGGGATAGTTGCGAAACTTGCGATATGCTGATGTAGTTGTCCAGCTTGTGTAAAGAAATCATTTTATCTGTTTAAAACCGTGAATGACTCTTTGAGCAAATAAATCTTGATGGACTTTACATCCCAATTGAACTAACGTTATTGAACATGATTTTCTTATTTCGAGGTTCCTTAATATATATTGAAGGATTATGTAGAGTTAATTGTGGTATGGAAATAAAGTAGTTCTTAAAACGCCTTTCCTTTAGCTAATCTTATTACTGGTGAATGACGTATTTTAGATAGTTAATGTTCCGTAAATTTGACTATGCGGGATTATTGTCTATTAAACACATCGTCAAATCCTCCTAAATACAGTTTAGTCTATTTTTAATCCAATATTGATTCACTTATCCTGCTATATTTGATAACCATGATGTTTGCAGGTGAAAAAACTCCTAGTCTAGCCACTTACTAATCACAGTGTATCTTCCTAACATGTAGGTTCAGTTTCCATGACACAAAAATGGGAGCTGGTGTCTCTACCTCGATGGGAGATGACGGCCTACTGGATTCTCTCCTTCTCCTCTCATCTCTATTCTTTCTACCAGCTGCACAAGTTTTCTAAAGGTGAGCTGCCTTTCTGGCCCAGAACAAAACACAAACTCCCCCAGGTTATAAGAGAGGGTGTGTCACCCCCCGGGTGTTCAACTGTACATTTTCAATTAAAGAGAACACTGATTCAAATCCCAAACCTAAAAAAAAGCCAAGAAAAATCTGTATATTACATGCATAATGCGTGACCATTAGACAACAACTCCTCCACAATTTTGTCAGTTAGATATATAAAACATTATTAAATTGTTATTAAATGAATGTAATATTGTTATTTATTCAGAATGAATATAAAATAAAATTTTGCTGCATTTTTAGTGTAGGCCTACACATGGACTTTATTTTATGATGTGTCAGTTTGAAAAGGGCTGCTGTGGTGTGTGTGTGTGTGTGCACGCCTTGGTCCTGTCCTGTTAACTGCTGACTCTAAGAGCTCTGAAAAGGTTGCGCTGTCATTTTGAGGGACGACAGGATCTCAGGTCAGCAAAAGGCAACACACAGCACCCATTTTTATCTCTTTAAACCAAAATATGCCTGTCAAAAAGTCCAAAAATAAAGCTTTAAAACTGGGCTTTCCTCGTGCTCAAAAAAACAAAACAAAAACTGCATAAATAACAATAGATGAATCTGATAATACATTTAAAGATAAGTGTTTTTGCCATCAGAAAACAGCATTGTTTAAGGACACTATTTAGATGACTTTAGGTTCAGTTTCATATAGTCTTCATACTGGTAATAGTAATATTTTAAAAAAAAATGACCGGAATACTTGAGAAAGCATTCACTTTATAAGTTTGTGAATAGTAAATTAGTCAATGTTATGTACTGACAGGCTATTGATGTATTATTATATATATATTTGATATAATATTGCATGTTGTGTCTTATTGTTTAGCCAGGTCTTATTTCTTTGATTCACATTGTTTCTGATGTAGGTTTCTATACATACCCATTATACTTCTTTCTGCAGTCTTTGTGTCTCAACACAGTGAGACCACCAGATGGCAATGTGCTCTCACTTCTGTTTCTATGTACACTTTCTTTTCTGGAAAAAAAGTGTGTGTTTATGACAGTGTGAATAGATCCTTGGCTGCCATTGCACCCTGCAGGAAAACCGTCTGTCGATGTGACTAGAGGTCCATTCTAAGAAACTGGATGAACAAAAAGAGAGGGATAGACAGAGAGGGGAGGGGTGGGGAAAACAATACCAAACTGACACTGCATTGCAGGGGAGAAAGAAGAGAGTTAATGCATGTGTGCTGGGAAAATTCAATATTCATCATCAAAACTTATCCATGCGGATCTTATCCATGTAATGAAAGTGGATAGGGCTGCCAAGTTTACTTTCAATGCAATAGTGAAAGTTCTGCTAAATGTTCAGAAAAAAAAATCAATCTCTTTGAAACTGAGAAGCGCATTCAAACCTCCATCCTATAGTGTCCGTTCAATCAAACTGAAGATTTAAGTGGATGTTAAATATCTTAGATCAGTGGTTCTCAAACAGGGGGCTGTTATTTTAGGTATTTTAATAATGAATATACATATTTTTTTTTAGTAATTCCAAGCTTAAATACAATACAGTGCCAGCCAACCTGTCTCAATTTTTTATTGGGCCGGTCCAAATACCCACACTTGCGAGCATGTTAACGCAACTGGAAGTGCGCAAGACTGTCCCAGGTCTTAAAAATGACAAAGCTCAGTACCCTTTAATTAACGCATACTAAACTCACTATCTTGAATACCACTTTATAGACATTCTACTGTAAGTTAAATTCATTAGATATTGCATATGCCCCTGTTTCACAGACAAGGTTTAAGCCTAGTCCCAGTCTTAACTGAAAGCCACTTGCACTGACATATCTTAGTTAAAATATATCAGTACTATTTATTCATCTAATGATGCGCACCAGTAATGTTTTACCAAAGGCTACTTAAATGTCCTAATTGAACTAAGGCCTAATCCTGGCTTAATCTAAGCACTGTCTGTGAAACCAGATAGTAAAACATAAAGTGGTGCACATTTTATTGGTGCAAAGATGAGTGTATTTTTTACAACATTTGCAAATGCTTTTTATTATATATTATATATTTATTATTTTAAATATATTATTTATATTATATTTATGTATTATATATTATTTTTATTTTTTATACTACTAAATTGTATTGTCTGTTACATGGGTTCTGAACAGACATTTAGAAGTTTATTGAAAATCAAAGTAAAACTCTGTAAACTCTTGGATCCCATTGAGTGTAAGCTAACTTGGCTAGTAAACCTGAATTCTGATTGTAGTTGACCAAAATAGTCACATGTGCAGACTTTGTATTCCTCCAGAATAGTGTATGAGAAATGTGTTTTATTGTGTGTGATTGACAGAGCATGAGGTCAATCTGGACAGAGAGGTGCAGCTGCAGAGAGGGTTCCTTATATGGGGATTCAAGAAGGTGAGAGAACATGCTGGTTATGTTGACTTTTATCAGGATGGCACATTTAGTTAATGCACCCCACTAAGGGCAATTTCCTGTTTCCTGCCCAATCAACAAGTTTTTTTTTATAAAGACAAACAAAACTCTGTGTGTTTTGTGTTTTTAGGACCCTACTGATTTTGAATGGAGTTTTTGGAATGAGTGGGCATGGCGGTCTCTTCTGTGGTCTCTGATTGGCCATGCTGTGGTGTCCAGACTGGCAGCCTGTTATCTGCCTCAGGTCATTTGGATGCAGAGAAGATGAATTTGAGCAAGTCATCAAATGTTTGCATTTTTCATCATCTTTCTTTGTGGACTCGTTACAGTTCCGACTGGCAGTCTTTGCAGTGTATGGCTTGCTCTCTGCTGGTTGGCTTCTCGGTGTGTGGGGCGTGACTGTGTTGATGCTGCATCTGAGCATCTCATTGGTGGTTGCTCAGCTACGTAGCCCCGCCCTCTCGTGGTTTTGCTCACTCCTACTGCTCTCCACACTGAATGTCAGTGCCCTCCAGGATTTACAGGTGTGTGAATCTCTGTGCAACTATAATTGCTGTAATCCATGTAGGTGAGGCATCAAAGTTGCTGCTCCTCTGAGGAGAAGCTGCATAAAAGTGTCAAATTGAAAAGGGTTGTTCACCCAAAATTGACATGATGTGCTAACCCAAAAATGTCCTCATTTTACTCGCTTTCATGTTGTTCCATGCCCATATAGCTTTCTTTTCCCCCTCTTAGAACACAAAATGAGAAATGTAAATGGTGTGCTGGTTTCCATGCAATTATCATAAATGAAGGTGAGATCTTTCATGCTTCAGAAAGGATGCAAAACCACCATAAAAGTATTGTAATACTGCAAAATCATAAAATTGTCGGCATACTCCAAAATAATGAGGGAAGTAGCAATGCTTGAACGAATAGTTCTTTTAAGTCACATCTTTTCAGTTGGTTGATTCCAGAGGTGTTTTAGTATGACTTTTTATACTATAATTTGAATTAGTTTTTTGTTGTTCTTTTGTCATTTATATTGTTTTCTGATTTCTATTTAGCTTTAAATTACTTTTCAATTTCATTTTTAGTTTCAGTATTTTTAGGATTTCTTAAACTTAAATGGCCGTACACACACCGGAACGAATATCTGCGCACATTATTCGCCAGCATTTTTCAACGCGTTTTTTGTGTTCACACCTAAGCGATTTTCGCTGACGATGAGCCGAGTGAACATGCAAATTCATTGCCTGACATTAGATGGTGCCCATTTGCTCAGCAATACCACTCCGTAACAGTTCTTTTATCAAGATGTTTGTAGTCGCAGTCGCGTTTGTCACATAGTTCTTTTTTGTCTAACACCAACAAGACCAGCAGCTCTACATTCATCTTGCCTTGCATCTTCCTCGTCTTATTTCTTTCTGGCAGTGTAGACGGCGACGCTACTTGGCGTAGATCTTCTGGGGCCCGTTTCAATAAGGAGGTTCAACCAACTCTGAGTTAAAGCTTGAACTCAGAGTCGACTTACCCTGAGATGGGAAACTCCGAGTTTTCGGTTACAGAACAGCTGAAATGAGTTAGTTCAATCAACTCTGAGTTGACTGACTTTGAGTTAAGCGCGTGCACCACAGCTTTAAAAAGCCATTATCAATGGAGCGCAGATATTACGAGTCACCATGGCAACAGCGCCAGACAAAAAGAGGTGTTGGGTATAATTAATTACCAAGTAATCTAAATATTGTAATTTAATTAAAGGGATTACTCTTAATTCTTCTTTAATTTAAAATAAAATATGATGCAATTACATTAAATAGGCTACTGCATAAATTATAGACCAATTCAGTATAAAACAATAGTGGATTTAGCATACATTTTTAAAAGGTATATTTTTATATAACCTTCTCCCTCTACACACTTTGATCAATTCAAGAATAATTCATGCAATTGTATATTGTTAATTTGAAAGCATTAAAAGTGCAGTTTCTTGTCTCTCCTCCTTGTATTAATCAAGTGGTTGAGGTTGATATAGGATTTAGTAGTATGTAGACCAATACTTTCTAGAGATAGTAATTATTACATTAATCTAACTACACCGTTGAAGATGTCATTTGTTGTTAATAATTCATAACTATTTTAGAGTAACTGTTATAATATCAGAGGTGAAACTGGAAGAATGTTATTCAACCTAAAGTAGTCTTTGATACATTTTTACTTAAGTAAAAGTAAAAATACCAGTCTAAAAAATCTACTCAAGTAAAAAGTAGTTAATTTAAAACATGAGTAAAAGTTGCTGAGTAACTTGTTTAACAGCGGGGGTGGGGTGGGGGACTCCCCCATGTGGGGTTGTAACGTATGAGAGTTTCAAAGTATGAGAACCGTCTCAGAAAATATCACGGTTTATGGTATTAAACAATTGTTAAATATATAAACTGCATTATTAAATTACGGTTATTGTTTTCATCAGTTAAAATAAATTAAACATTTGTTCAATAAAACATAAATCAACTAACTTCAATAATTGATTATGATTATGATTGACATCTTATTTTTTATCGTGAATAACTTATTACATTTTATTAAATTTTTTTCAATGATTTAATAGAAATATATTATCCAAAACAGTGGTAATCAAATAAAACTTTAGCAAATGTTTTAATCCTTTTATTTTTTGGCAAAGTGCTGCAAAACAGATTTAGTCAATTAAACCATGGACAAACAATATATATATATTCCTTAAAGAATGTGTAAATACATTTTAGTATTGTTGTTGGTGTTTAAACAGCACTTCCTCTTTAAAAAAGGGGAGGAGACCGCAAGAAACTCTGGGTTTACTGAAGAAAACCTGCTCCCGACCAGGTTAGGTTCACAGAGTAAGTTACCATGGTAACTGACTCTGAGTATAAGTTACCTCTCTTTCAGAAACGGGCTTGACTTACTCTGCTTTCTCGGGTTTGATATACCCCCCTTTCTGAAACGGAAAACCCAGAGTTTCCCTCATTTCAGGGTTAACATACTCAGAGTTTTCACTTAACCTCCTTTCTGAAACAGGCCCCTGCTCAGCAAGACCGTTTTGTGTTTGAGCGTCCCCAGTTGTGTTTTACTGTAACTTCAGACACGTGAGCAAAAGTGCCAATCTCATTTGATCGGATAGTTTTTGACGTGGCGCGTCAAAATAAAAATAAAAAAGGCTGAGGCGTTTTAAATGACGCTTTTACGCCTGGTGTTTTCCGCGACAGTGTGTACACTCACATTGGCACCCTTTGTTTAGTCACGTGGCGTTGAACGTTGGCGAATATCGCGTACGCAATTCGTCCTGGGGTGAGCAGGCCTTAATTCAGTTAGTGGTCTAAGAAACTTTTTATTTTTTTTTCAATTTTAGGTTTTTCATATTTATATTTTCTTTAATATTTAGTTTCACCTTTATTTCAAATTATTTTAATAGTTTTCTTTTAATTAACAACAACAACACCAGTTGTTTCAGTTCTGAAAACCAATCTGAATGGTTTATGCACAAATCAAACGGATCTGTTCAACTCACTTAAGTTGAAAGCTTCCCAGAGGTGAAGATTATCAGTGAATAACTTCAATTTTGTTCAGTTTCTTATGTCAAATCTTTTGCATGACTATCACAGAAGACTTGACATGAAAGCAACGTTACAGCGCTCCATATGACTGCTTCATATTGCTTTTTTTTTTTTTGTACATGGAAAAAAAATCAAGTCCCTCTTCATTGGAATTGCATGGAAAGGTGTGACCAGCACAGTCTTCAAAATGTCTCCTTTTGTGTTCTGCGATGATGATTATTCATTTTGGATGAACTACCTGTGTCCCTTTAAAGCTTTCTGTATTGATGGGGAGGAGGTGTGATGGACAGAGTGAGGGATTTGTCCGGTTCAGCCTCAGTCTGTCCTGTCTCCAGGGCTCTCAGAGCACATCTGCAGAGCTCCGCAGAGAGAATGAGGATGAGACTGAAACAAGTCCGCATTAAATGTCACCATTCTCTTCACACAAACACAGTGACGCATACACTTTCAATAAGTCTTTCAAGCAAATATTCAAAGTCAAACATTTACCTGCACAACAGTTACCTTTTTTCTCACACAATAGACGTTACAACAGTACAACCAAAAGAGCCTGCTGGCTTCCAGAAGGTCCTGTTTTTGTTTGTTTTCTTTATCTGCTTTGTCACTTGACACAGTGAATGATTGATTGACAGCTGTCATTAAATAACTGACTGAAGGTGAAAGCAAAGAGATCAACAAGCTCGTGCAGATAGACGAGACAAAAGAGACTGAGGGAATATTGATCTGAGTGACAAATGAGTTCCCTACTTTCCTTGAGTTTCTCCTTGATTAATTGCGACACCCCTTCTTAATTAAACCTTCATCTAATTCTTATTTATTACTCAGCAGCATCTATTAGCATACCCATCCGAAGAACATGCAACTGTAATTTAATCTATTGTGATCTTCATTCTCTTTTAATTATATATTTTTTGTTCTGTATATCTCTGTTTACCTCAGTTACTTATGAGCTGTGAAAAACCCTCTCGAAGACAGCAATACCCATGCAGCTATACCACAGAGACTGCCATAACGACATACAAAGAAAACAGCATCAGCCAGTGACTAATTTCAGAACGCTGCCCTGTCATTTAGTGTAATTTAGAGGTGGTTATAGCTTTATTTTTGAGTGGCGATAATGAGTTTTTGAAAGTGGCTGCTGCTGTGTCGGCTGGCTGGATGCCAGCTGTCTTCTGAGTATGCCCAATAGATAGTTTATTTCAACACAGAGGATCAGTGGATGCTGGCCTGAGGTGGAGTAATTTAGAAAGATGGAGCTGTGGTTTACAGCGCTTGTTCATCACTTACAGTACATAGAAGTTTACCTAAAGGATAGTCTACCCACAAATGAAAAATTCTATATTACAATGGCTTAGTATAGTGTTAAAGTGATGGTCCACCCAAAAATGTAGAAGTCTGCCATCATTTATACTCACTCTTATGTCGTTTTAAACCGGTTTGACTTACTTTCTTATGTGGAACACAAAAGAAGATATTTTGAAGAATGTTGGTAACCAAACCGTTTTGGTTTATTGTATGGAGCAAAAATACAACTAGGAACCAAAACTGTTTGGTTACCAGCATTCTTCCAAATATCTTCTATTTTGCACAGAAAAAAGTCTTAACAGGTTTAGAACGGGATGGGGGTGAGTAAACGATGGGTAAATGACATACAAAGGACATTTTGGCCACCCTACATGGAGCTTAAAAGTGTCTGAATGACATTGCATTGGATACAACATATCAAACTTAGTTGTAAATGGTTCCAAGATGATTTTTAGTAAATAGAGAGCAACCATTTGTGTAGTTCATCAAATTTACTGGAAATGTTCCACTAATGTTGGATAACCAGTCTAACAAGGCTACTTTTTTTGTCGTCATTTTAAAGAATATATCTATTGTTTTATAATTTCAAACCTAACAAACTGTACGGCTGTGCTATATTTCTTCACAATAAAAAAAGATAATAAGTGCAGCAGTTTTACCAGTGAAGTGTGTCCTTTCTGTCTCACTGGTGGAACTAAACAGAATTGGAAAAATAACTCTTTTTCAAACACACAGAAGCTCACAGAGCCCATAAAATAAGTTGTGATCCTCAATAAACTGGATTTTAGTTTAGGGGCTTTGGCAGAGTTAGTCAAGGGTGACGAGAAGTTACTGGGTTCGATCTTTTTTCAGCCTGAAATTTTGTAGATTGTGGTCCTGCTTTACCAGTTCTGACAAGGTTGTGTAATGTGTAGTTGTATAAATGAAATATGGACATGCTACAAACTCCATGTTGGCTTTGTCATGTGACATTACGTCAATTGTGTCGCTTCACTGTCTTCAAAACCCCTTCCATGTGGGCTTGTGGAATAGTAAAGTATCCACTAGATTTGCAATTCAGAATCTCTCCAGGTATTTTTTATGAATACAATGAATTTGGACATAGTCCTCACTTCATAATTTTTTTAAAAACTTACGATGTAGTAGGGAAGGAGGCGAATTCAGATGCAGGGATAGTCTTCCGGCTGCTACCAGAGCCATTTTATTTCAGGGCCTGTTCATTGTCTTGTGTTGCACATTTCATTTATTGTCTTGTAGCCACTGATTTGTTTTAGCTTCCTGTTGTTTAGCTTGGTTAATTTAAATGTTTTTTTTTTCACTCTTTTTTTATCTGTCTCTAGCGTGGCTGGTGTTCTTCTGAGGACCAGTACTACCTCTTGCTCTTCAGTACTGCTGTTTGTAGTTTGCGCTGCATTAGCTTTAGTCTGGAGCTGTGCTGGAACTGCTCATCTCTACAGGATAGAGGACTAAAGACTCTAATTCCTCAGTTCTACAAGCTCACTGCCTACTGCTTCTATCATCCTCTGTTCTACAACGGACCCATCATAACCTACAGAGACTTCAGCGAACAGGTAGAAGAAAATGACGTTCATAAAAGGGTGCAGGGTCTGTTCTTTATCCAAATGTACTGTAAATGTCATTTTCTTTCTCTGCAGATAGAGAGACCGGTGTGTAAAGTGTCTTTGGTGTATGTCTTAAGCGGAATACTGCGCGTGTTTGTCTGGTGGTGTTTAGCAGAATTCATGATCCACTTCATGTACATGCACGCCATCCAGAGCAACGAAACCTACCTGGAGATGCTGCCACACTGGGCGTTGGGTAAGTCTGCGGCTGTGTATGAATTCTTGTACTTTCATAGTATACACTGAATTCAATGAACAGCGTCTTAACCATCTTTAGGGATGCAAGTGTGTAGTGTAATACACACTTCGCTATTCTACAGATATGCGTCATCCACAATATTGGCATTGTCCTTTTAAACTTTGAAGATATGCTAACAGCAACCATAAACAGTCTTCTCTGTTAAATAAGTACATTTCCATCCAAAAGTTCTGGATTGGTAAGATCTTTGAATATTTTTGACAAAATAAGTCTTATGCTCACCAAGGTTATTTTTTATTACTTTTATTATTTTATATTATTTTTATTTTATATTCAAAAATACTGTAAAAACACTGATTTTGTGACATAATATTATGATTTAAAATAACCGTTCTCTATTTTAAAATGTTATTTTTTGCAATGATGGTAAAGCGGAATTTTTATCAGCTTTTACTCCAGTCCTCAGTTTCACGTGATTCTTCAAAAATTATTCTTGCTTAAGTTTAAATGCTTATTAGCTGCTCATGAAATATTTCTTATTATTATCAGTGTTGAAAACACTTGTGCTACCTAATATTTTTGTGGAATTTTTTTTTCATGGTTCTTTGAGTAGAACGTTCTAAAGCATTTATTTGAAATAGAACTAATTTTAATAATTTCAGTGTCAGTTTTGGCCAATTTACTGTATCCTTGCTGAATAAAATAATTTCTTTGAAAAAAAAAATCTTACTGACATAAAATATTTGACTGGTTGTGTATGCCTGAGGAACAAGTTTCTTGGTATTTGCAGATCTTGCATTCGAAAACAGCAAGCCTTTTCAAATTTGACGGCTCCTTGACACCTGCTGTCTTATAGCAGGAGTGTCCAAACCTGTCCCCGGAGGCGCACTGTCCTGCACAGATCAGCTCCCACCCCAATTAAATGCACCTGAACCAGCTTATCAAGGTCCCACTAAGCATACTAGAAACGTTCAGGCAGGTGTGTTGAAGCAGGACAGTTTGGATACTCTTATAGGATAACAACAAAGTGTCCAAAATCTCATGCAGTACATCATCTGCAAATTACTGTGAGCCTTTGATATTTATTAGTTTTCCGACATCATACTTTTGCGTATTTTAGAATTTATGCAGTCTGTCATTATATATGGTGTTATTTTGGGTGCTAAAGTGTTTCTAATATTATTATCATTTTGCCACGATGTTCGCAAATTATGAAACACACACACCGAGTTTTAGCCTTGTGTGTGCGCTCTTCATTGCAGAATCTTGATTTTGCACTTGCTGTCTATTGATCTGTGAAAGTTGCTGATTTGTGCTGCCTGAACTTTGATTCATAAACAGACTCTGCAAGAGAGAGCGGTCTGTGCAGCAGCACACTGGAACATCGAGTCATTATTGCCTTTTTGTACTTTTGTACAAAAAGTGCTTGCAGAAATTCGGTCCTATTTTTTTAAGGCTTTTAGCTCTGTAGCACTTGGATATGGGAAAAGACAGATGCTGTTCTCAGTTTCCACTGACACATAGAGACTGAAAAGTGAATAGGGAGATATGACTAGAAAGGATGATTGAACTAAATTATGAAACTGTTCAGAATAAAACTGAAATCTGATTAAAATCATTATATCTGTGGTTCTTCTCAGCCAGAATGGGATGAAGGGCTGAAATGTGCTTCACATACACTGCATGGCCATAAGTACTGTGTGTAGACACCTGATGTGGCTGAAGAACCCTTTCAGTAGGCTACAGATTTTTAAAGGTCACATGTCTGTGTGAGATCAAACACATTGCCGCTTTTCTGTTTTATGTCTTGTAACCGCTCTCTTTTTCACCTGCAGGTGGTTTGGCTCTCGCGTTAGTGCAATTTTTTTACGTGAAGTATCTGGTCTTATTTGGAGCGGTGTCTCTGCTCGTCAGGTTGGACGGACTGGAGCCACCCACGTTACCACGGTGTGTCAGCATCATGTACAGCTTCACTGGAATGTGGAGGTAAATATACACACTTATGTCATCTGTCAAACTTCAAAAGGTCTGACCTGTGTCCTATGGCTGGAATGATTTTGAGGGGGTTTAACTGTCATCTGCAGTACATCTGTGAAACAGCAGGGGTCAGAGCTGCGCTACAGTTGCTTTAATTGATTTAAGCTGCGATACGATTGGAACAGATTTAAGACTTACTTACACCATCTAGAAGCACATTATTACATGAGCGTAATAAGATTCATGCTTTTTGTTTAATTTCACAAACATCTTACCTCTAACGTATGGGATTGAGTGTTGGGCTTATCTGATGAGGTGAGGGCTCTGACGTCTCGTGAGACGATGTCGAGCAGGCTCAGACATGAAGGCTTCCTCCCAAACAATTGAATTTTACTCTAAAAGCTTGAATGCCTGATGAAGGTACACAGAATTTCAACTTGAATAGTCTTTAATGGTCTCCTAGGCAACACGAATCTGGAAACTGCAGACTTTTTTAGTTAAATGTGTTTTAACACTAATTATTGCCTTCTATTTGCTTACTTTAATAAATCCATAGTACACGAAAGGACTATGGATGTACCATGCCCTTGTTTCATTTAAACACAATGGGATTTTACATCTACTGTAAAATGATTTAATGATTTTCTACAATAACTATTTAAAGTTTTTTAAAATCACAAAAATGTGATCTATTCCTGTGATGGCAAAGCTGAATATTCAGTATAGTTATTCCAGTCTTCAATGTCACACCATCTCTCAAATCATAATATGCTGATTTGTAACACAACAAGAATTTTTATTACATTTTTATTAATGTTAAAACAGTTGTGCTGGTTTATATTTTACAGCATTGATTGATGAATAGAATAACAGCATCTACTTGAAATATAAATATTGTAACATTTAGTGTTTTGACTGTTACTTTTGATCAATTTAATGCGTCTTTGTTGAATAAAAGTATTCAATTCTTCACAAAAATCTTACTGACTTACATGTAATGTTAATGATACAAAATATATTTAACCTAATGACACAAAGGTTCTGAAAGCTTTTTAAGGACTTAATTTATCATTATTTTACAGTAGTAGAAACAACTAACTGTAATAACTTTACAAACTTGCTTCGCTCCATAATACAAGCAGTTATTTTTCAGTTATTTTTCTTAACCCAGCGGATGAATAATTGTCACTCACCGAGAGTGACTCTATCTTCTGTATCCTGTGTAATTGTGCATGTTTTGAGTGTATCAGCAGATCTGCGATGCAGACATCTGCTGAAGCTCTGCGAGCCGGAAAGGTTAAGCACTAGTGTGCGTCTCTGAGTGGTGTTGAAGGTGATGGGGGTTTAGAGTGTGATGAATGAGAGCTGTAAGGAAACAGATGTATGCTGGAGACTTTAGCAGGACCTGCTGTAAGACCCCGTCTGGCTTCAATCCCACACGGAGCAACAGAGCTCAGCTCCTCTGAACCTGACAGAGCACGCACAGGCATAACAGCTCAGCATAGCCTCAACACACTCACACACACTGATACTTTAAAATCCAACTTGCATGCTCCTGTCTGTGTTTAATGGCTCAGAACCGGATGCAACATACCACATGGAGACAGTACCCCATACTGCAGGACAGCAAAGTCTCTGATTACAGTGCAAATGTCCTACAGGGAGCGAATGAGATTGAGAACAACAGAGAGAAAGAGAGGCTGAGATGTTGCTCTTGGCTGCAGTTAAATCTGGAGATTTTCTTAGTGTGTGTATGTCTGCACTCTGCACACGTGTTTGGATGTGCGAGTATTGCTGCGTGTGCGTGTGTGTGATTTAGTATGGTCGGTTGCTATCATGGACTGGGTTTATGGCGGTTGAAAGGTTTATGGGTTGCTGTAAACACACACGCACACATTTAGCTGATTCCTGCTGATAGCTATTTGATCTATCTCAATGGATCTATTGTTTTTATGGACGCAAGGGTCTTTATTGCGGATCTATTGATTGATTTGTTTTCTTAATGCATGTTACTGGTCTTATTTTGATCAATTCATCAATTTTTTTTCTCTTATAAAATATGTAAGGTTCTGTTAACCCTAAACCAAGATACATAATTAATTCAATTGAAAACCGGTCAACAGCTGATGGATAAAATTAAGTTCCGCCATGAATTTTTCATGTTCGATCGCCCTTTTTTGGGGGGAAATATGTCACAATATGGTAGTGAAGTTGGTTTCAGTTTCCATTCATACATATAACTTCACACCTCTTTTATGATACACTCAAAAAATTGCTGGGTTGTTTTAACTTTTAACCCAACTTTGGGTCAAATATGGACATTTTTAACCCACGTTTGGGTTTTTCCATATTTGACCCAAAGTTGCGTTAAAACAACCCAGCATTTTTAGAGTGTATGATCTTGTGTTTTTAATTTCTGAATTTTAATCTGTTGATGTTTTTTTTTGGTGGGGAAGACGTGAAGTAAAACATGTCAGTTATACAACTGTCCTGATACCATAGTAAAGAAAAAAGCCTGTTAAAAAATGATCAGTTATGTGCATAATTGCAAGCAAAATGTTTTTATATGACATTTTTAGAAATATGTTGCGTTAGTTCACCCAAAAATGAACGTTTTGTCTTTCCAAAACCATAAGACATTCATCTTTGGAATACTAATGGAGATATTTTTTATGAAATCTGAGTGCTATCTGTCCAATTTTGTGACATTTTGACACTTCAAAAAGGTAGAGATCATACATTTTCTAAAGAGACACAATTGCTTTATACACTGAGCAAATTTAATTGAACCATTTATTCACATGTAAACATTGATTTTTCAAAACCATATGAAGCCCTATGAATACAAAGACTGCATTTCTAAAATCTTTGAAAACAATGATTTAGAAAAAAAAAAGATTTGTATTCGACCCTTTTTTGACCCTAATACTGAGCTAATGATAATGTCTTCCTTTGTCCCTAAACAACCCTCACTTATGTAACATGTTTCGATTTTTATTAGGGCATTATTTATTGCGTTCATTTAGATATTTTCCTCATGGGGACTGTTAGTGTTTTATTATCTTTTCACCTTTGGTCTCCACAATGTAGGCATAACCTCTCACACATATATGCAGTGAGAAAAAGGCCAGGTTTTATCCTGATCTCAGTTCTCTCCATCAGCTCACCTGTATTTTAATGGGATCATGAGGAAAACTCTGAGCTGTGGGAAGTGTTTACACAATGTTCCATCAGGTCTGCTTTGCCAGATGATTTCTGAAGCACAGAAGCCCTATCTGAAGGAAACAGCAGAATATTGAGTGAATTCTGTTCCAATGTGTTTCTCACTTTCAGCTTCTTGAATTACCATCTGACTCACAGTTCATAAATGACATAAGACATGAGATTCCAGCTCAGTATGTTCACTGCATCTGTTTTTATAGCTCCTTGTTTAGGTGCCACACATATCTAGTAGAGTCAAATTAGCATTTCAGAGGGATTGCTTTCATAGAGAAGCTTTCTTACTGTGGCGTTTTAGGCCTGAAATGTGCAATCAGGCTGTGGTGTGTAATGTAGTGATTCCTAAGCAGGGAATTTAGATTTTTAGCTTTATAAAACCTATAAAATAGAATAAAAATTGGATAACTAATAAGTACGTTTTTTTGTATATTTGTGTTGACTTTTAGCAGAACTTTTACTGCTTGTAGTTTTTTATGCAATTTTATCTCTGATTTAGTGTTTGTAAATGGCTACTTGAGCCTATAGTGTCGTGTAGCCAGACCTTCAGACTGACTCCATTGCAGCTTTTATTGGCCAAGGACTGCCCAGATGCCATTTGACTGACATGAAAGGAACCAATCACAGTTTGTTTTGTTCCTCGTCATGTTTAGGGGCGTGAAAATGTAACTCTGTTGTCCCTACAATAATAGACTGGTGTATAAATGTCTTGGATGTATTTTAAAGAGCATGCCACGTGTAAACACAACGACCTGCTTCTTCCATGAGGAGGTTTGGCTTCATGACAGCATTGTTTCCAGGCAGACCATTAAAGAACGTGACACGCATGTTTCCCGGAAATCCTGTAGAATGCAGATGAAGACTTTGAAACAGTGTTTCCAATTTTATGTGCCATGTGTACCAGACGTTCAGCCAACGGTTTGTTGGCGTGACGTCTGAGGCTGAGACTAGCCCAACCGAATTCTTAGAAAAGTTTCATTGTTTTGGATGAATTGTATGTACAACATGAAAACAAATGCATTGAACAAACTGGGTTTAAGCAGTAGAGACATGCACAACTGCATGTCTCCACATAATGGTTTATTAATATAGAGTGGAATTACTTCTGCTTCATCTGTTCTCTTGGCCTTCCCAGATGACTTTATTTCCCTAGAGCTGAAGCACATTTCATCAAGAGTTGCTAATGAATGCTGGGAAGAGCTGGAATGAATCAAATGGTCCTGCACAATCTGATTTAGGAGTCATTATGTATTGTAGACCCCAGACCCAATCCATCTCTCTCCAGACACTCTCTCACTTCTTTTGTTTTGTGTCTCTTTCTCCAGATGGATGTTTTTTTGTTGTGGCACTGAAGTTTTTGATAGTTTCTGTGGGCTCATGAAAACTTCATGTCAGGGCTTTCTGACGTGTTAGCAACCATCTGCTTGCATGTGACTGTTTCTCCTCATCCAAGCCGTTTTTTTTTTTAAGCCTAGCGGCGCCAACTCTTTACTGCTGTCTCTGGGATCTGGGTTTATTTGGACTAAAATAAGCAACTGACTAAACTACATTTGAAAGCCTTATGGCCAGAAAACCGTCTGTTGGTGTCATATTCCGATTGTGATTCCTCTAATTGGATGAGATGTTGGTTTCCAGAGAAATCCATATCATTGTCCACTTCCTCGTCCATTTAAACCTTAATCCATTGTAACTGTGAATTTTTAAATAAAAATGTTGATCCATTCATTCACCCGCCCTTATCCAGGGATGAAATGTGGATAGATGGATGAAGAAAAGTGATTATAACAATAAGAGAACCTGTGGCTATAGTGATGACTTGAGGAAGTCTGTTCACACCTGCTCAGAGGAACAGGTGGAAGAGAAAGTCCTGCAGAGTAAAAAATTGAGAGTTACAAAGGGCCAAATCGATATTTTGGTCATGATGGTTTGATATAAATGACATGTCAAGGAGTGAAAGAGAAACCCTGTGTGATCAGTGAGACAAGAAAGAGCTCAATGTGGCTTTATATTGTTTGTTAGAAGCATACAGTATTGGATAAAGTTGAGATCCAAACCTGTATAGTTTTTTTAAAAACCAGGCTATTTTTGTGAATTATATTTACTTAAATTCATAGTTGAATGTGATTTATTTATCTTTTATGTATGTATTTATGTATGTATGTATTAAAGGCCTTGTTTAACAGACAGGGCTTAGAATAAGCCAGGATTAGGCCTTATAGTTTAATTCAAATAATACATTTAAGTAGCTTTTTTTTGTAAAAAAAAAAACAATATCGGTGTGCATCTTGGGATAAAACAATGGCACTGACATGTTTTAAGATATGTCAGTGGATGTTGCTTTCATTTTAAAACAGCTCAAACATGCATTTTAGTCTGGGATAGTCTTATGATTCATTATTTAGAAGGACATTATTTAGTTTTACTACCCTTGTGAAGTAAATGTATTTATTTACATGATTTTTATTTATTTCTTTTTTATAATTTCAATATTAAATATTTAGATAAGGACAATATTTTGAGACATTTTCCTCATGGGGAAACTATCTTTGTGAAGTAAGTGTATTTATATTTATTTTTATAATTAAAAAAAAATAGTGATTTAATGATTAAATATTTAGAAAGGAGGTTTTTTTTTTACTGCCCTTGTGACGTGTGTGTGTGTGTGTGTGTGTGTGTGTGTGTGTGTGTGTGTGTGTGTGTGTGTGTGTGTGTGTGTGTATATATATATATATATATATATGTTTTTATATACATTTTTGTGATTTTTATTTATTTAAAAAATATTTAAAATGAAGTATTATTTATTTTTACTTTATACTTTTAATATATATATTTTTTTTTATTAAAAAAAAACAGAACCATACCTGAACAAAATGTCATATAAACTTTGGGATAGTCTCTTTTGACTCAGGCTAGTAAAAATCTCTCTAGCATCCACCCCAGAACACCCTAGCAACTACATAGCTCACTAAAACCAATTGGAACACTTGAGCAGCCAATGCCCTGACAACCACCTGACCAGTGACACACTAGCATTGTGGTGGCAAGTTTTGCATGGTGACAGCTCAACTAGTCAAACAGCAAAACTGTTCTGGGATAAGCCGCCTTGAGAAAATGTCTCCTGGTACTACAACCGTTTCAGCAAATGCCAGCATTTGCCCCTAGAGATTCATTAAAATGGTTTCCTCAAGCATCTAATTTATGCAGATTCTCATCTTTTTTTAATTCTTTTTTTTTGTTCTGGATGTTGACTGATTAAGCACATATTTGTGTTGTGTCATGTTCTACATAAAATGCATGTGTTTACCATCTGTGTTTAACCACTGAAGTCACTCGTTACTGTCTTTTTGCTTTTCAGACACTTTGACGTGGGACTTTACAAATGGCTCATCAGGTACGATTCCTCAGTTTCTCTTATTTTGAGTGGGTGTACGAGAAATAGATATTTTGTACTGCTTTGGACACTGTTTTCACTTGTTGCAAATCAAAAAGTACATGATTAATAATCATAATCAATAATTACACGTTTTGGATACATCGCTTTGGCATATAAATGAACATTCTTGCATCTATTTCCCTTTGCTCTTGCTATTCATATTTCTTTTCGGCTCTCAAGTTCTCATTTTAGTTTTTAGGAAATTTACTGAAACATAATACACAAATGAGACTTTTATGAGGTTTATATTTGGCAGCAACATCCCTTTTTTAACAGCAAAACCATTTAAGCTGGAACATTAGCATACTAGTTGAAGATAAATGCAAAATTACACAATTATCCGTCAAAAAGAAGAATGTTGCATTGTTATGCTTAATGCCATTAAGGTTCAGTTTCTTAATGCATTTATGATATGTGACAATGTGATCTGCTGATTTAGTGCAGTGGGAAAGACTGATAAATAAAGAAACTAATTACACCAAATTACTCATTTACATTTAAATATACATGCAAATCAGTTAATTACATATTTTGGCTCAAAATGATCCAATTTTATGCTGATGAGCTTCATAATATAGGGTGTGTTCCACATAAGCCATCGCTGTTACTGCAAACTGGCAGCCTATAATGAACAGTTTATATTACAGCAAAACACAATGGATAAATTGGGCACTGGTCATGATTGGTCACCCAAGAGTCCAGAAACACGACTCGGCTCAGTCTCTCTCGCCTCGCAGAATGCTCTGCTGTTTGATTGCACATTTTTTTTAAAGAAGTAGTTCTCATTTTATGCCAAATACTGCTTGCTTTTTCTGTGATTTGGTTTGGACTGATTGGCAGAATATTACCAGTTTGATGTTGCCTTTTCCATGCCGTGCTAAAATATGTTTTAGATTTGTTGTGATATTTGAAATGCAGTTGCTTTTTTCATCAGGCATTGGTTCCAAAAATACCTGGTGTCTTAGAATATCCGAGTCTCTGGCAATTCCTTAATGTTACAGACTTTATAAACAGCTGTTTATCTGTAAAAATGTTGTAATGTCTGTTGAATAGGAATAGAAAGTTCAGTTCTGATAGTTACTATTATTATTATTATTATTATAAATGGCGCTTGACTTGCTGCTACATTATGTGCTGTTAGCATGTAATGTTGGTGATGAAGCGATTTCCAATATTATGTGTTTTATACGTCTTTGTACTGTATACGCCTCCATTTCTTTAGTTAGCATGAGTGGTCACTTTCCTGGACAGACAAGTCAGACAAATAATTCTCCAGAGCAGCTGGACAGATGTTTTCAAGCACGCCACTTTTGCTTTAATGATATTTTTCTTTGTGTATAAATACTGTCGGGGACTAGAATAGGTTGGAAAGCCTTTTGGAATATGGAAACCCTTTAAAAAAAACCTCTTCAGCTCCTGGCGTAACCTTGTATGCTCAGCTGTTGCGTTTCCTGACAGTTATTCATATTCTAATGTCCTTCAGCTGTATGGAGCGATCATTGTGGAGGTTTTGGAGAGAGGGCCCAGGTTGTGTTTTTTTCTGTGCTGGGTTTGGTATTGTCAGTCTTTGGCAGGGCTGCGATCTCCACAGACAAAAGATGTTTGATCAGGGTTGTATTAGCATGTATTTAGCGCGAAGAGCATCTTATTCTATCAAATATTGGAAATTCGCCAGTCTGTGTGAATATGTACATTGGGAATGAATATGAAATGTGATGCTGCTTGGGCCAATAACCCAGACCCAGAAGTCCATACATTATTTATTTTATTTGAGAACATCAGGGCAAGTGACAAGACACGTGTCCTGTCCTGCTGTAAATTGTGTTTATGAAGCTTCTTACAGAAGAAAAGAAATCCAAAAAGAACGAGTAAATGCTGTATCAGCCCGAGGCCACAACCCACAACAAATCTTCACGCACTATGCATCACAGATCTATTAAAGGGATGCATGATATATCCATACTATATTTAGGGCCCTATATTAATTCAGATTTTTTTTTTCTCAAATTTCAGATTTTTAATGGCTTGATTAAATTGTAATAATAAAAAAGATGCCCTAGTTATTTATCTGTATATACATACACACACACTCCTGGGCTCAGGAATAAGAAAAATGGGCCAATCCCATTGGCTAAACAAAATGATTCAATACTAAGCTTTTAACATTGTAAACCACATATTATTGGTCAGGAAATTAGCACAATTTAATCAAATGCCCTAATACATGGGAAGTTGGAGTGATGAATCACAATGAGTTGCATGGTGTTACTCCAGAGCAGAATCTTCAGAAAGCTGCAGCGAAATTTAATAATTGCATCTCTAACACGATGAAGCATGCAGGAAGAGGAGCCTTTTTAGCTGCTGGTATTGGTGAACTGATTCACTGTGAAAAGTAATAGAATGCTTAAAGTACATGAGAATATTTGAGGGTTGCTTGCTTTCCACAAATGAGAAGTTATGTAAAGAGAAATGATCAAATGTTATTTTTCAACAAGACAATGCTCCTGCCAAACTTGCAAAAATAACCTAGACGTGGCTTAAGTTGAGAACAAGTCCACCAGGCTCATGTTTTGGACTGGTCAGAGTCCAGATTTGAACCATATAGTTAATATTCGGTCTCGCATTAAACTCATGAATTTTTCAACTACTCATGAACAGTTTGACTGACTCCTCTTCCTGTAAAAAGCTGTCTGCAATACTTACAGTATTTGTGCAGTTATTGATAATTTTCCTTACCAGTGATTTAAAATGGTTAAGACCATTAATAGACTACTAAATATTTGGCTATTTTTGGCTTGGCCCTAAATGACCCCCTTAGTACCATAGCATAAACTAATGATCGCCTTATGTAGTAAGCAGACTTTTAGTAATACATATTTTGCGTCCCACAATACTTGTTCACAATAAATAAATCTTCAATACTGTTCATTATGAGTTGACTTTTTGAGTATTATACATAAGACATCCATCCCATTTGCCTTATATCAGTTTAACTTTACTTTCTACAGCTCCCCAAATTGTAATTGTCCCTTTGCTCCCTGAATCAGAAAGCTGAGAGAATAAGCACTTACATACTTTTCAAGCTGGAACTTTGAGTTTGAATCTGAGTATGTTCAGTATTTGAGTATGATTAATTATCCCTTTATTGCGAACAGAAAATCAAAAAACATCTCCGTCTCATTCCAAGTGTGTCTTTTCCATATTTCTCTCTCTCTCTCTCTCTCTCTCTCTCTCTCTCTCTCTCTCTCTCTCTCTCTCTCTCTCTCTCTCTCTCTCTCTCTCTCTCTCTCTCTCTCTCTCTCTCTCTCTCTCTGTTAAATGTGTAGTGATTGCATTGTGGCAGGGAGAGCTGATCTGCATAATTGGAGTGTGAATGTGGGCTGTGTATGTGTGTGTGAGTGAGTGTTGCAAAGTGCATTTGGAGAGATCTTAATGTGCTTTTAAATGTGCAGTAATTGTGAAGAGCTGAGTTTTGGAGTGAGGAGATGTGGGAGAGGATCTTGTGACTCACCGCTGATCTTAAAGCATCCACAGACACATGCCGCGCACCCCTCCTGTCGCGCTATTGTCTGCTTGAACGCCTCGCTTTTAGCCTGTTGAGTGTCATCTCCTATCTATTGAAATGTGCTCACAACAATCAAATCAAAGACACCGTTCATATGAACTTATATAAGGGCGAGAGAGGGCTGAGATTATACTGCGGTGGTCACAGAGCCAGAACGAGACCTTATTGTTTCTGTTCATAATGAAAATGCGCCCATAAACACTTTTCTCAGCAGGGCAACGTCTACGCTTGGGCTTTACAAAGCAGCTTAACAAAAGAAATCAAAAAAGAATGCAAGATCCACTGCGATTGCGTGGTATATACCTGATCATGTACTGAAAAAGTAGCCTACCTTGGTACCAAAATGTACCATGTTACTATATCATCATTTTGCGGATTTCAATACCTTACCTGGACAATAATTCAGTTCAGGAAGTGTGATATGAATGTAATGTGATTTAAGTAAGTGGGTGTTTAAGTGCATTTTGCTGAATTTAACTTTAAACATCCCATTTGAACTTGATTTACAAATGAACTACAAAATGAAATAGTTAGCAAAAGAAAGATTATTTTACACCTTTTTTGTGGCAGACTTAATTATCACAAAAAGTATGAAATATCCTATTCATGTAGAAATATTGGTAACGCTTCCTTTTACAGTACAGTACTTACAGTGTACTTACCTAGAAAGTACTGGCTAATATAAGGTAAGTACATGAAACGGGGTAGGTTTAGGCGTAGGTTCAGGGTTAGTACTAGTTATTACCCAGTAATTGTAGTTACTAAAATAAGTACATAGTATTTACATGGGTAACTGGACTGTAAAAGGAAGCGTTACCGAAATATTAATGGGAAGCTTATTAGATGACAATTGAAAAACATGATGTAGAAATATTGAGGGACGCCAATGAGACAACATTCTTTCAGTATCAGCAGACAGAAAACACCATTCAAGCTGAAAACTTTTAAAGTAAAACAAAACATTTAAAGTTATGTAAATGATGAAAGCTCCGCGTGGTTTCTCGGTTTGATGGATTTGAACAACCATAAACGATGCAAAACATAGGCATTTTGAATATATTATTGCTTCATTTGTAGAAAATTGCTTCCTGCCCTCCATATGTATTATATTAGGTCCTCTTTAATGTATTTTGTACTTTAAAGTGTAATTTTTTCCTGTGATGACTAAGCTGAATTTTTAGCATCATTACGCCAGTCTTCAGTGTCACATGATCTCTCAGAAATAATTTTAATATGCTGATTTGCTGCTCAAGAAACATTTCTTATTATTATCAATTTTGAAAATTTTGATAAAAAAAAACTTTGATAAATATAAAGCTCAAGAAGAAGTACCTATAGTTCTGAAAAGATGGTGCATGCTAAGTCCCTGACTCATTTGTTAGCGATCACATCATTATCTACATAATACAGCTAATTGGTCGCTGTTGCATACGCGTCCAATGTGTTGTGGCTCAATATTCAAACAAATATTGAGGTGTTGCTGGTAGCTGTATGCAACATGCTTTCAGAAACCCTCCCCTTTCCCCTGCTCCACCTCTATAGATCAACTATAGGGGTTTATTCATGTATGTCACATGTGCAGCCGTACAATATCAATGTATTGGCATTAGCAAGTCGCTGGAGCACATCTATACCGCCAAGACCACATACATTCTCCTGAGAGTTGTCATGATAGAACAGCATTTAATTGAAATAAAAATCTTTTGTATAATGTAAATATATTTACTGTAACCTTTGAGCAAATGAATGCATGAAGAGTTCAGATGCAAAAGCCTCTAAGTGCCATTTGAAATTTTCTTCTAAAATGATCATTTTTATCAAGCTTGTATATTTCAGTTCAGTAATTTCACTTAAATGGCAATGAAGATTACCTATTAATTGTCATTTAAGTGAAATTACTGAACTTAAATATACAAGCTTGATAAAAAAATGGTCATTTTAGAAGAAAATTTCAAATGGCATTTAGAGGCTTTTGCATCTGAACTCTTCGCATCTTTTCTGAATAAAAGTATTAATTTTGTTCAAAAAATATTTTTGGAATGATAGTGTATATGCTTAAAAAAACACTTAGCCAAAATAAAAATAAAAGAAATTCTCTGATGACACAATTTTTCTTCAAGTACGGCAAGTTTTGTTTTAAGAATATTAATTTTGCTGGAAAACCAGACTTATTCAGAGCATAATATATCTTCTCTCTTATTGTATTATGAAACTGTTAACAAGCCTTTTCAGTAAGTCCAATTAACATATCAGTAAATCCACAAAAACCCATCTATCCTATTAGAGGTCCTATAGAGAAGAGAAAGACGCATGAATGTTGAAGAATAAAAATAGCGCAGAGATTTTTAAGTGAGATAAAATAAAGCACAGTTGATCTTTTTTTCCTTGATCTCTATACATGCGCTGTCAGCTGGAGCCGTGGTCAAGAGCTAATCTTATCCTCTTCACTATCTCTCTCTCACACAGACACACACAGATGAGTCAAGTTCTCCACTATCCCAACAGCCTCATTAGAACAGATTGGTGCTCTCTCAGCCCTGAAATCGAAACTCTACTATACTGCTGTACAGAAAGATCAGGTTTAGTTCAGAATTCTCTCTCTCCTGCTGTCATTATTATTAGGGGAACGGTAGCAGTTTTACAGACAGTATCATCTTTTTTTCACACACAGAGTGTATACCCCCTTAACAAACACATTAAATAATGGCTTGATGCAAAAAGGCTTTTTGAAGGGTTAAGGGTTTATTAAAACAACTTAATTGTTAATTGGAAACTATTTTTTAGTTGTTCATGTGTGTTTTTGTGTGTGCTTTTAGGTACATATATGTGCCGCTGGGAGGCTCACGTCATGGTGTGTTCAGGAAGATTGTCTCCACTGCGCTGGCGTTCGGGTTTGTGTGTTTCTGGCATGGTTGCCATGACTACCTTCAGTACTGGGCCCTCCTGAACTGGATCGGGGTCTTGGCGGAGAATGTTCTCGCTCTCCTCTTCTCCTCTCGTCCTCTTCATCACACTATTGTGAGTTCACACAAAACCTCTCTTGTTAAGTATCGGCTTTAGATGAAGATCATAAGGTCACTCAATAAATGCCACATAATAACAAGCATTCGTGGGCTGGTCTTAGGTGTGCTGTCTATCACCTCGGATGCAGAGGCGTGGCCTAGCTCTAATCTCCGCCCTCTCCACGGCTCTTCTGATTCTGTCCAATCTGTTATTTTTGGGCGGGATCCATGTGGGTAGAATCTTCTGGAAAAGGGTGTTTGTCCAAGGTGGGTCATTTAAATGTATGCATTCTCTAACAGATTATCATTTCGTAAAGTAGTATGCATACCTTTGGTAACATATTCTTTTCAAAAAATGTACTTATGAACAGAATGTAAGGTTTTTGGACTCTTAATTAAATGTTATTTACAATCAAATGAAAATGTATTAGTTTAAATATATATCAAAGTGTATTCATTGATTTTCAACCCGCTTTGTATTGGTACTCTGTCGGTAGTATATTGAGTGATTTATGTGCCCATTAAACGACAGTGTTGGTTAACCTGCAACACCCCTTTAATATCGGGTTTATATCCGTTTTGCGAAAACACATTTATGTGACGTGTAAATGGAATCGTTTTTATGAATCAGATAGCTATTCGATCTGAGAAAAGTGGCCAGGTATAAAGAACCCCTTGGATATTTTACTTACAAGTGACAATGTTTGCTGCACACGTGGTGTGCTTTTAGTGCAAATACTGTGTGTCAGGATCCCACAATTTATCCATTCTTCCAGCTGATGTTTCACATCTTATTGCCTTTGTCCTTAAACGCTCGTTTTTTTGGGGTCAACAGCTTATCAAAACTTAGTTTTTGATTTTCAGCTTGTTTGCTGTACACCCTGTCACAAAGCAGCTTTTAGATGTTTTTTTTGTTATAAGTCAGAAATAACAAGCTGGCAGCTTCACGCAATACAAAGTCAATGGAGACGGTTGGATTGTTTTCGGGTTATGATGACGTGTGTTGCTCTGTCTCTAAACATTCTGTGATTGTGATTTTATGCTGCTTCAGATTTGTTTTTTGTGCCGCCTTTTCTGTGGAAAGATTTCTTTGAGGCAAAGATTGGAAAGCTAAGGGCGGGTGAATGTCTGTCTGGAAGTTCTAGAAACGTCTATTTATCTATTTGCCACCACCATGAATCCCGCAGAGACTTAAGAACGGACACCATGGTATCATTCATTCTTGACATCTCTGAAAGGTAGCCATGCTGCTCCCACCCACCCCCTACAGCAACTGTCAGTCAGACTCTGACCCAAAGGTTTTGAGGAGCAGCAGGGTGCTGGGCACAGACAATCACAGAACCCTGAAGTTATTTATTACTTTGTTCATTTAGTTCGCCATTTATTATAAGAACCATATCCTACTACTTTACATTTGTTATATTAATTAAACTTATTTACATTTGCATTATTTTTGACCATTTGAAGTAATTCAGATCATTTTTGGCACCCTTGATAAATATGAAAAAGAAGCCTGTGAAAATAAAACTGCATTGTTAATATTTTTTGACCTTTTATTCAAGAAAATCACAAAAAGATAACCTTCTGAAGTAAAACAATTGAAAATATGGTCATTTGTTTCATTATGAAATCAAACAAATTCTCTAATACACATTGGACACAATTAATGGCCCCCTTTTATTAAACAAAATAGCAAGAAATATTCAAAATTGTGAGATATAAACACGCAATTCTGACTTTTTACTCGTGATTGCCGTGTTTATATCTTGCTATTCTGATTTTATAATTTGTAAGTCTGACAACTTTTCTCAGAATTGTGAGATATAAACTTGCAATTGTGAGTTAATAAAGCCCAATTCTGCTAAAAAACTCGCAAATGTGAGGAAAAAGTCACAATTGTGAGCTAAAAAGTCTCTATTACCTTTTTTATTTTTTATTCTGTGGCGGGAACAAACTTCCATAGTATTTTTACACAGACAAAATTAGACATAACACACACTACCTCTGATCTCCTTAATTTTCTATCCCAACTTTTTTGTAGACTTTTGCTTCATTGCAGTGTTTTGTGTTCGTGACAAAATGCATTTAGTGGCCGAGGTTATGACTCTAGTCTAGCACCTGAAGGACAATGAGGTGTACCAAATGTAATCCACAACCCCCTTCTTTCATTTTGCTCTTATTTACTTTTGGTTCCATCCTTCTGTTCTTGTCCCTGATGGGACTAGGCAAGTCTTTATAATGAACCCACCAGAGACACACACACACACACACACACACCTGTCTGGTGTGTTTTAACAGCTTCGGGCTCTTGGTGGACATGTTGAGGGGAGCCGTAAGCTCTCCTCATATATATATAGCCTATGACATATATTGTCTGTCACTGATAATAATTTGGAAATAATTATATAATAAAATATATATCAATGATAAATTGAAAATATATAATAATTTGAAAATTATTTAACATCTTGCATTATTTGCATCTTTTATAAATGACAAATGGGAGTAACACAAGCAAAATCAATTAATCCAAGGCAGAGTATGTATGTAACACAAGTACGGCTATACCATAACACTATCCATAAGTATTAGAGAGGAGCAGACATATAAGTACATTAAGTGAAGTGCTTCCGGAAAAGGTGTTTCTTCAGCCGTTTTTGGAGATCATAATGGCTTCTGCTGTTCAGGTGGAGTTTGGAAGGTTATTTTACCACTGGGGTATAGTGAGTGTGAAGGTTTTAGAAAGTGACCCATGCCAATATATACGGCTGTTCATTTACTGACTGCAGGGGGCGAATGTAAATGAGTGAATACACCCCTGTGGTCTAATAAGATTTCATATTATATAACTGTTAATCTGGGTGAGGTTATAAATCAGAAATGATCCCTGTATACTGCAGTAATCTCATGTAAATGCTGCTACATCAGCAATTCTATACAGACTTTCATGTGCGTGTAAATTTTGAAATTGCAAGGCTCCAAGATGCGACTATAGACAAAAAAAAAAAAAAAACTATGTAGACAGTCTGCTTTGTTTCAGTCCATAAGCTCAATTGGACCGGGAAGCCTTCATGTAAACACTTAATTCGATCCAACTGAGCTCATTTTAAAATAAATTTCAATTGGAAGGGGTGGTGTAGGTCTGAAATAATCTGATCAATATGTTTATAGGTAATTGAAATAGTTGAAAACAGGTGCAGACATACAGTATGTCATCTTAACTTTTTAGATATGTCATCAAGGCTATGATTCATGAACCATTAACTCTTATGAACAAGTGTAACAATGGATTTTTTGACCTATCAAATTCTGTGACGGTATTATGCGCTGTAGTAACGATAGAGTTAAAGGTGCTGTATTTTGTTTTTACTGTACTAAAGCATAAATATACCATAATCTGTTACAAACATGCTAAGTTCACATACTTGTGTCTCCGAAAAACAATGCTACAGCCAGTTATTCTACTTTGAAATGTGTGTTCTGGGTCAGCTCAGAATGTCTGTTTTTGTCCCGCCCACAGCCAATTTACCCAATAGTGTTTCTGAAATACTGTTCAGTAACCTCAGGGAATTGACAAATCCAGATACAGCCTCACTTCCTGTTTGGTGTCTGCTAATTATCTTGTTTGTAGGCTTTACAATTCAAACCATAATATTCTTTCTGCTTACCTTTTTGTACCATTCAAACTCTTTTTTTCTCTAATAGGCTGGTCTTCTGTGGCCGTTCCAGTGGTTGCTTTCCTCTATTGCTTTGCTCAAGTTGGTATTGAGTGGGACATGAGATGACAACACCGCTCAGGGTGGAATCATGGGAAGGCAGAAAACACTATGGTACTTAAAGTTTTACAAATGTTTCGACCAGTCACAATGTGGACAACTATAACACGATTCTTTTCAACTCCTCCAATATCATATGTTTGTTTAGCTATGCTGTATTTGAACAGTGTGTGTGTGAGAGAGAGAAAATTAAGAGGTGTGAATGCTCCAGGTGTGTGTTTGATGGTTAATCCTGGATTATTTATGAGTTTGTCTGAACACTGATGGTGACACATGTGTCTGATCATCGGCCAGGATACAGCCTGACCATTGCTCTCGCTCTCTTCCTGTCCCTGTCCATTTGTGTATGTTTCCATCCTCAGGTCCATTTTGTCCCTCTGATCTTTCTTGTCCTGATAGGTCTTGTCTCATTCATTCTCTCTTTCTCCTTGTGTATCTACACTTCAATCCTCTTACTAACAGCTCAAGCTGCTCTTGGTTAATTAGATCAGCGATCTGCTAGCCTGAAGTTTCTCCTTTATTAGAAAGCGGTAAGACGTGCTTGTGTGTTTCAGTGTTAGGAGGGATTACACTTTAAAGAGCTTTATCTCTGCAGTGTACCTTTATCAGCATCAGATTATCAGCATCACTTTCATAATCCCTTCACTAAATCTCTCTCTCAAGTTAGATTTTAGTGTGCTTTATTGGCATTATGTATTACCATACGCTTAAATGTACATGTTGCCACCGCAGCATAAAAGCAAAGAGAAATTTTGCAATACAAAAGAATATTGCAAGTTAACAAATATATAAATGTAAATAATTATTATTATTATAGTATATATTATTAAAAGTAATTAAAGGTGCACTCAGTAGGTTTTTTTATCGATTTTGCTGTGATTGCAATCCCTGTCTCTTTCTCAGTTATATGATGTTATTTTAGTAGATGGAAGGGCATGTGTGACCTGCCCTTTCTGTGGGTCAGCTGAAATTGCTTACTGACACCACACATTACACAGGTCCTTAATGTGCCCCCTTAAATATTATCAAAGGTGGCTGTACAAAATAAATCTGCATTGTTTATCCTTTTGATATTTTTTTTTTTTAATTACAGAATTGACAGTGGGGGGAAATCACATTTTGAAATAAATGTTTTTCTCCAAAACACAATGGAACAATTATTTGCCCCTTTTATTAAATACTTTTGCCAAGATAACAGCTCCTATAATGCTTTGTTTGGTAAACACCTGACAAGAAATCAGAAACCATTTTTCCATACAAAATCTCTCCAGATCTTTCAGATTCTCAGATCCATGATTGGCACTTCATTTTCTATAGGGTTCAGGTCAGGGACTGGGATGGCCATTTCAGATGTGCTCAGTGACCCATTTTTGTTTTGATTTTGATGTTTGTTTTTGGATCACTGTCCTGTTGGAAGAGCCAAACATGGCCCATGATAAGATTTCTAGCAGAGGTTGTCAGGTTTTGTTTTTTATCTGTTGGTATTTGAATCCATGATGCCATGTATCTGAACAAGATGTCCAGGAACTCTGGCAGAAAATTAGGCCCACAGTATTAAAGATACAGCAGAGTATTTCATTTTACACTAACCAATCCCATATTAAGTGTTTGCTGCCAAAAAGCTTTTTTTTTTTTTTCATCTGTCCATAGAACGTTTGAAAATTAACTGACATTACTGGAACTTCAAACTCCTGGACGTCTTGTTCAGATACATGAATAGATATATATATTTACGGGGGTGATAATTCTGACTGTCCGTGTGTGTTTCTCAACAAATCACATGTAAAATTACACACTCATCTGAGTATATTTAATTGCACAGTTAAAAAACGCAGTATTTCTCTTTGCTTAAAGTCAGCTTGAATTGGTCATTTTTTTCATAATGTGGTATTTTCTTGGTTATTGAAACTATATTTAATGAGATTTTAAATATTATGGATTTGTATTCATTGAGAATAGGATTGGATGATAAAAAGACCTGAAGTTTTGCTAAAGCAATGGCAAAATAGCTATTGGGCTATTGGTGAACATCAAATAACCTGTTTCTAATAGTTATTATGGACAATTTGATTTCCTTTGAATAAGTAAACCATTCACATTCCCATTGATTTCATGCTGACTTCACAGTTGATGGGCTTTCAAAAGTAGGTTTAATGTTCTAAAAGAAAGAGAAATACTTCATTTGACAACAATCAAGTAAAGAGAGTATGGGTAAAATATAAAATATTTTATTGTCATAAATAATATTTTACAGCAATTTTACAAATTTTGTCTTTGTGCTTTACAGTAGAAGTAATGTCCATGTGAAGAAATGATTTCAGTGACAATGTTTCAGTCAGTGTATAATGGCCATGCTGTTTGCTGAATACATCTGAAAGTGTTATGTATGTTGTTTTTAAAGAATGACCCTTAGAAGGACCTTTGTGAGCGTACAGACCCTGCGCTTCGATAGAATAGCACAACTCCGTTTGGACTTCAGTATCAGTGTTAAGGACTCTATAAAAATACTCATTGTTCCCCAAAATATTGTACCGTACACGTCAAGTTTCTAGTCAAACATATATACGTTCATGCAGCAACACACAAACTAATATGCTGTGTGTACAATTGCGTGTTCTCACAAAATCGGTCAAAAACATGTTCAGTTCATATTTCACCCCAAATTCAAAAGGAAAAAATAAGAAATTATATTTTGCATAAATAAATACATGCATTAAGATTTTAATGTTTTTTTTTTTTTTATAGTTTTACATTAAATTCATCATTTCATGCTCAGTTCTCAGTACTGTAATGGAAGAAAAATACTTCGGTGGTATTCTTTATACTAAATTGTGTATTTTAGGTTTAGTATTAATATTTAATATTTCAAATGGATTGTAATATTTTATTATTATATTTAATATGACAAAACAGCCTTAAAATGTACTTAATTTACTTTATATAAAATGTGATTTCTTCTTTTTTCTTTCTTTTTTTGATTTTGGGATAAATAGGATAACTTACTCACGTAGGCTTCTGTCAAAGAAACCCGACCATAGAAAAGTTTCTTTATCATGGACTGGTCTCTTATGATGTAGTGGCCTATTTTGTTGAGACGCGATACTTTGGTTCTCAAGTCAAGTCTGAAAAAACTATTCAAAGTGCCTAATGCGAGTCTGAGATCTGTGAGGATCCGTATCCCCTACTAAATGCAAATTTGGACTCACTCACTCACCAAGTCAGACAGGTCTGCTACAAAGACTGAATCCATTAGCTCTATGGGGTAAGAGGCAAGAGATTAAATACTCCTGCAGTAGAGAAGTACTTCTTTTTAATGGTAATTTATTCAAATTTTCCTTTGTATTTACCATGCATGTCTTAACCTTATTTTAAGTGCAAATCAAGCCATGCTGTTGTCGTATTTGAGCAAATCAGTCACGATCAGATGGTAACGAATCTCTGTAAGTAAACCATGCTAGTATCTACGGGCGTTGCATGTCTGCCTTAACAAGTTAACTCTGTACAATCCTCCTCAATCTCATTCAACAGAGAATAAGTGCATTCTCTGAATGTTAAAACTTTTATTGCTGTGCTGCAGAGGCATGCAGTGACATCAGGGCTGCATGTTGATTACATCATGTGGTTCAGGTTAAATGTTGTATTTGAGCCGGAGAAGCGTGGCAGGAATAATCTGTGTGAAATACAGCAGCAATGATTATTGCTTCAGAATCAGCTCAGGCTGATGCTTTACATTCCAGTTTACATGGATTTGCATGTCAGTATTGTTATTAATATTGTAACATTCATATGTCTTATTTAAAGTCAGTGCTGGGTTGCCAGATACAAATGCTGAATACTTTTTCCAATTTCTGCTCAGTATTTGGAGTGTAAGCAAATGACCCGGGCCATAACATTAGAGCTAATCAAGATATCATTATTGTAAAACACGCTCTGAAGCATAAAATAACCTTAATGGGAATTGAGCCATTTAATACTGTTCCTCTGGTGTCTTGCTGACAGAATGAGATAATTACCTCTTAAGGGGGAATATATATATTTTATAGAACCTAGGATTTTTTTTCTTTGCCATACAAAATTTTCTGACTGTACAAAATGTACCTTTGTCGTAACAGAAATAAATCTTCATGTAGGAAAAACATGACGTATTGAGCTTCTTTTCTTTATTCCCTAACAAAATATTTCTGATGTGTTGTTTGATATGACCGTGGTGGATTTTTGGTTTACTGTTATTCTTCTGAGTTCTGAGTCGTGTTTCTTTCTCTCTGCTCTCAGGTGGAGAAGCAATGAGGTGATATACTGACCTCAACACATCTCCTGTGGACCTGATAATGACCTCTCTAACCTGAGAACATCTCACAGCATGCTAACATGTCCCTTAACCACTCATCTGACGCACACAGTATGTTCATTACCGCAATTCTCCACGCACACACACAATGCATTTATCAGAGTTTGTATGGTCAGGCACTCTCTTTCTAAGATACAAATGAGGAAACCTGAAAGATCAAGAATATATACAAGTTCATATATTCTGTGACGGAGATAAAGATAATCAGGTTTGGTGGTGTTGTTCTGAATAGAGAGGCTAATACACAAGACTCGATCTCTGTGTTCCCCCCGGACCTCGTTATGGAAATTAAGATGGAGTTGATATGGGAGAGGGATGCTGGAAAAAAGAGCAAAATAAACAGCTATTTATATCTTAGCCATGTGATTAACAGATTAGCCCCTAACTTGCATTAGTAGCATTATTTAATGTAAAAATAGGGGAGACTAGGACTAGCTGTCACAACTATAGTGAATATTTCCCAAGGTTGTTTTATTTTATACAAGACGCATACTTTAAAGTCTTGCCTACAAAAAAAAAAAAGGGGGGATCTGACAAGCAACCCCAGTCTCCCCTGCTGACCAATGAAAAGCTAAACAGGGCAGGTGTGAAGATAATGCCACAACTTCAGTATTAAATATGTAAAAAAAACATCCAGGAAGGTGGTCAGAATGAGCTCTCAAACCATCACCCCACTTTGTTCCTGAGATTATTTTTGATGTTTTTTTGTAATGCTGAAAGTTCATTGTAACTGTGTTATGATATGTGACTGTGGTGTTGTGACAGACATATGTATAGATTACATCCATCATTTCATTTTGGATAACAAAGCTACAATGCACAACAGATCGGAATAGAAATAGTGCGCCCGTGGTATAATATGTTTGTGTGCTTTCTGGAAGACCCAATAATTGATAAAGAAACCACATACATTCTTTTGTTTCACTAGTTCTTTCAGTGTTATTTTATAAACTTGGCCACTGTAATCCAGCAAGTCATTAATGAACTTGCTTGAATATGCCTATTGTAGACCAAAAAATGTGAAGATCCTTTCACATGAGTTGCATCAACAACATTAAACATCATGCTACAGCATTACTTCTGAACAACAATGTGGGCAGGCCACATGCTGTTAAACAACATTCAAACTTGAACAATTTCACACCATGTCAAAAGAATATCCATTGACAGTATAAAGGTGAGGAAAAGGACCACTTGTGTAATATCAAAATGAAAATCCTGCTTTTCAGTAAAAAAAAAAAAAAAAAAAAAAAGGCTGTTTCCTCACATTTAGTGTGTTCACACTTGTAGTTTGGTTTGTGTGGTCAAGACAAAAACTTTTAGTCCTGGTCCGATTGGCATTTTTGGTCAGATTTTTTCATTTTTATCACTGAACCAAAAGGGATATGTTCACAACCTGATTAGTCTGCTTCTATGATGTATTTCCTATTTTGACACGTAACTGCTGTGTGCTGGGATAAATGTGCTCGTTGTGTGTGTAGCCTGCATGTGATGGTATTTTGACCAGCTGAGGACTAGTGAAGAGCTTATAAAAAGTGTAAGGGAGTCAAAACAGTGGTGGGAATCCCTCCGTTACACACACAAACAAAGATTTGCTGCATGGAGACGTGGTTCTAATGCCTGTACTTAACTATGATGGACAACATCGCGACTATGGCGAGAAAAAAACGATATGCATGAGCATTCTGTTCTTTTTATGGTCTTTTTTTTGGTTTGTTTACATGTATTTGGTCTGTGCTGCGTTCATGTATCAACCGAGTGTGAAGTGTGAACACCCCCTAACTGGACCAGCTTGGTGTAATTTTAACAAATTTGATAGGGATTCACCAATATTAATGTTCTGGTAGATATTTATAAGTCGATAATTAAAGGGTTAGTTCACCCAAAAATGAAAAGTCTGTCATCATTTACTCATTCTCCTGTTGTTCCAAACCCGTAAGACATTCGTTCATCTTTGGAACACAAATGAAGACTTTTTAATGAAGTCTGAGAGAGCGCTCTGTCCTTGCGTTACCAAGTTCATAACATTTTGGTTAAACCACTGGTGTACTGGCCTCATCAAGTCCACATTCAATTATCCAGCAAGTTAAAATCCATTACACAATAATTCCTGGAACCACAAAGCGATGTTGAAAATGTTTTGAGAATGTTGAGTCACGTGGATTATTTAAATTATATTACTTTCTGGGCATTGAAAGTTGTGTAGGCTGTCAATGGAGTGAAAGTAAGCCCTCAAATTTTATTAAAAATGTAATTTGTCTTCCAAAGATGAAGAAAAATTTGTATGGGTTTGGAATGGCGTGAGGGTTATTAATGACCTATATTATATATAGGATATTAATTTTCATTTTTGAGTGAACAAAAATGGCGAATATTACGTTTCTAAATTTGTTTGTCTAAATTAATAAAAAGTAAAACATTAAACATTTAGGCATCACAACATAATGTACTCAATGAAAATGGATCATTATTATTATTATATTCATTTCAGAATTTGCCACAGATCACAACAATCTTTTTAAATTAAGTTAGTTAAAGACTAACTTCAAGTAAGCATTAGATGATGGCAAATGAAATGTAAACACAATATGGGAATATGACCAATGACCAATATGGTACCGCTATATTGTGCATCCCTAAACGGGTATTAAACTGTTGTCAGCTTTTATTTTATAGTTTGTTGAGATGTGCATTGACGCAAGTCATGGAAAGGACCTTAACAGCTGATAGACTTCAAAACCCCTGAAGAGCTCATTAGTTTCTCCAGTAACATTTACAACTCTTGGGATAGTAGTTGATGTGTCTTTTTTTTAGACGTTTGTCTGGGGTTTCCATAGTTCCTTGGATGCGCTCTGCTTCTTCAATCTTTCGGCTAGCAGCTCAAATCCACACTGCCACATACTTGGGCAATATGCTTAGCTCTGTGATTCCTGATAAAGGCTCGTGTCCGGCGGTGAGTTACCCGACAGGACGGTGCAGAATGGGTCTCTATACTAGAAAGACTGCAGAGCATGAACAACAGTGTGTGTGTGTGTGTGAGAGCTCGAAAGAGAGAGGGGAAGACTTGCTACATGAGCAGATCTTGAAGGGCCCGCACCTGCAGTTGGGGACTGTGCATTGCCATGACAACCATCAGTCAGAGTGGGCCCTGCGGCAAGAGCTCTCACTGTTTATCAGCCTCGCAGGACTAAAACAGGGAGCAGTTCGACACAAAGAGTGACTGTGTGACAACTAACGCACCATCACTTTGGTATCACAGATGCTCTGCCTGGGGATGAGACATCCTCTTCTCCTCACCAATGTCTTATTTCATCCTTTCCCTCACTCATTCTCGCTCTCTCTCGCGCACACACACTCACACACTCTGTGTCTGTCATGCTTTTTGCTGGCACAGATGTCAAAAGTAGTTCTATCTTAGAGAAAGTTTCTGAATCGTTTCCCTTTCAAGAAGAAAGAAGCTTACCTCTCTCTTTTTCTTCAAGGGAATATGTCCGCCTTGTCTGTGTCTGGTGATGTCGGTCGTGAGATCTGGAAGAGCGACATGGGAGAGGTCGGAGACTTTCTGCTCCTTAGCAACCTCAATACCTCAGCAACCTGTGTCTCCAAGGCAACCATTCGGTTACCGAGCGCCGACAGCTCCTCTTTAAGTTCAGTACGGAGTTCCAGGAGTGAGGCGTGCAGCGTGTGTTCGGGAATAGGGGGGATAGGTGGAATCGGGGGAGTTTTTCCGTCGGGTAGGACTGGGCTTCGGTCTACAGGGGTGCGTGCGCCACCCTCGTCCAGCCGTAGGTCGCTTTTGGTGATGCCGCTGTCGCAGGAGTCGGTCTTCTTGAGTCCGCTGGACTCTGAAGTCTTTGCGGAGCTGCTCCGCTCTGGGAGAGTCTCCATTGATTCTGCTTTAGGAACGTTCCCCCAGCTCTCCGGCTTTGCAATGCTGTCCCTAAACCTGGCCCACCCCCGTGCGCGTGGCTCTGATGTCCGAGGGATGTTTGGGACTGGGGCGCTGAGCTTGGCCTGGTCGAACGCACCCAGGGTGTGCTTTTTGTTTGGGTGGGATGGGATGGGCGTGGCTGGGCTTTCCGTTACTGTGACGATGCTTGTGGTGGCGACCACATCTTGGCTGATGACTTTGTTGTGCATTTGGCCCTTCTCAAGATCAGGGTCATCAGGATTGGGCTGCACAATGGCAAGACGGGCTTCCTTCTGCTGGCGGAAACGCTGGAACAGACGGCGGACAGGATGATCGGGAGGAAGATTCAGCGGCGCCTCGTTCTTCCTCCTCTGCCTCTCCTCTTCTTCACGCTTCACGTCACTGATCTTTCTGAACACAAGCTAAAAAGACATAGTTAGTTAAACATACACATGTAATCGGGCAACCATTACACATGCATAATACAAATTGTATAAATATTATATTATATACGTTCTAGGCAGTGAAGCCACCGGAAGTGTTCAAGCGGCCATTTTATGATTCCCTACCAGCAGAGGGCTCCAATGGCCTTACAGAGATAGGTAGCTCCAAATAGTCAAATAGTGACACTTTTGAAATTTTGTCTAAATCCAACGCACATGGCACCCTTTAGCGTCAGTATAACACACAGAGCTTTGTTCGGTTATGGTAGGTTTAGTTCTGGGTAGGTTTAAGGTTAGACCACTAGGAGCGCCTTCCGGACCATATATATCTGCGTCTCATATTGACGCTAAAGGGTGCCATGTGCGTTGGATGTAGACGAAATGTCAAAAGCTTCAGTATATGACGCCTTGGGATGAGAACGGGCTGGTAGCTCCGACGGCACTTTTAAGATGATCTGCTGTGCATCAACAAGTGTAAAACGAAGATCACAAAAGGATCTTGAAAAGCTGCTTACAGGTTGTACTTTAAGCCCATATATAGTCATTTATATGCAGAATTGTCGCCATTTCCGGGTTATTTAAAAACAAAATGTATAGCCTTCTATGCATTCTTTCACAGAGGTATTCAAGTTTAAACCCAATAAACGTATTATTCAATGCATTACTTCTTATAAATGTAATTAAATGCATTTATTTAATATTTCAATGTCAATCCATGTTCGGTTTGACCACAAACCATGCACTGTCACTTTAGACAGTTGTAAGACTGTTCTGGGAGACTTTAGATTAAAGACGGTGTCTCGTTATGCAATGTTTTCTTAGTCAAATCATACAATTTCCTATTGATTCAATAGAACGCGTGAGCTCACTAGGGAATCACAATATGGCGATGCGGTGGCTTCACTGTTTATGACGTCATGAGCTATCCAGTACTAAAGATCAGTGGATCAAACCCATGGTCTTGGCATTGCTAGTGCTACAGTATATTCTACTGTTTGAGCTTCAGAAGCAATATATAGTTTTAAAATATGAAACACAATTTAGAATATATAATAGTTCTAATGTGGCCTTATGCATCACACGTGACGTCGAGGATTAAGTAGTATAGTTCTAAAAAATGAAAACTATATTACTTAACAAAATTTAACAAAACAAACAAAAATGACAAAAACCCCTTTCTCAACTGTTTTGTCCATAAACAAAGTAAAGGTGGACTATCCCTTTACCATAACATTAAAACAAAATATGGTCAGTCACTTTATGTACACTGTGCAGCCAGCCTCTTTTAGTTTAAATAGGAAGTTCTATTCCGGATAAGCTGCCAAATGAACTCTGTGCTGATAGTCATAAGTTTGGCTCTGCCAGATTATGCAATATATAGACTTCAGCAGAAACATTACAACCATTCCAGGTGTCTCCTGTATAGTGAGATTACCAAACTTGGATGTCTTTTTTCCAGTAATAGACAAACACTGTTAAGTTGTTTTGATTGATACTGTGTGTGAGCAATCTGTATTGTGAAAAGCGCTATATAAATATATTTGACTTGACTTGACTCGGTGTCCTGGAGATCCTGCACCCTGTGTTATGAATTTTGCAAGATGGTCTTAGTTCTAACTTACGTATTGGAGCTCATGTATATTTCAGAGTTGAAAGCTTTTATTGAGCAGATTCCAAAAGTCAAGCTTCTGCTATGTGAGTGTCTGCTCAAATCTCAGTGTGTGGGTCAGGGATATAGCAATTTTATTCTCTCCCTCTCTCTCTCATATGCATACACACACATATACTGGCATTCAGTTTTGATTGGCCCAGACAGTTCGTGGATGGGTTTAATAATTAATGCTGAAAAATCTTGTTAAAAGGTGTGTGTGTATACTGTGTGTGTGTGCGCGCGCACCTCTGCATACTGAGACAGTTTGTTCCTGTCACTATTGCAAGCTGGACGATGCATTTGTATGACTCCATCTTCAATATGTTAATATTCATTATGTCCTGAATATTCATTAAGTGGGACAGAGTGCCCAAGCATCTGTACCACCAATCTGTCAGTGAAATTACTGGGAACAGAACAACACATACATGCTCTAGTCCTCTCATGTGTAGTAGAAGAGGATGGGGTGTGGACACTTGCTTGGTTTGTGTGGAATTACATTTTTATGTGTTTATCGTTAGTTATTTTTAATTCAGCTGAGACGTTTCAGATAAAAATAAGATGACTACAATCTCATACAGTGTACTGTGAAGATTTTGCAAAGACCGTGTAATAGCGTGTGAACAGGCTGTCAAAAGGTGTTTTTGAAAAGTTCAGATGTAGCTTTAGGGGTTTACAAGTTACCCTCTCCTGAGACAAAAGACAGACTATTGCTTTCCAAACATATCAAACACACACGCTCTTCTTTCAAGAAATGACACATACTGTAGGACCTTGTATCAACATGTCTAAAGTGATCTAATCACAAGTGGTCAGGTGAGACTCATGGCCGTTTACCTGGTAGAAATGTGTCCTCTGTGACTTTGCAACTTTATATCTGACAACGTTGATTTCATATCTAGTGATTTGACTGTGTATATATCAGAATTTTAACTTTATATCCCAATTTTTACTTTATATATAAATTTGGAATTCACATCTTCCAGTTTGACTTTATATCAATTATATCATACAATTCAGTCTTTCTAATTTTAACCTTTATCTCACAATTACATTTATTTTATTTTGTTTCATTGGACTTTGAAAAGAAAACAGGCTTTAGATTTTAGAATTTTGACAAATCGCACAATTTTGTCTTTATATCTCATTGTGTGGCTTTATATAAATATGATATCTTACAATTTTAGTTTTATTAAGCTAAAATAACAGCTGTACTGTACATAGCAGGAATGGGGGTGCATTTGTTTAATTTTAATTTGTGATTTCATTAGAATGGATAGCAAGCTGGGGAAAGAGAGGTTGAGGGCATGTCTGAGTGCTGTGTGTGGGAGGGAACATTGCTGCTGTCACTTTCCAAAACGATAACTCGGTCAAACATTAAAAATGACAAATTCCAGCATCAGAAAAGAACAATTGGAAAGTGTTCCCCTTTATTAGATACATAGCCAGTAGCCACAAGCAATTTCATAAAGCGGTGGGAACAAAATCGACCATGGCAAAAAAAATGCACAAAATCACATTCTTTCCCATTCTTGAGTTTAGGGACCCTAAAATGGTCCTTATGCGATGTGTATTAGTGGGAGAAACAGAGCGTATTAGGCATTTTCCCATTATGTCTCACATAAAATTGTTTCATTTGGGCTTTAATATGCTTGCTCAGATTTGTCATATTGACACTTTCCAGCTGAATGTATTTTTTTTTTTGTAATTGAACTCTAAATAACTAATAATGTTTGGCAGTATAGGTGGAGAAATATAACTCTGCCGCTCCCTCTGAGAATCCAGGCGAGAATGAGAGAACTAAAAAAAATCAGCCAAATAGACAGCCTCAGTAGATTGCATTTCTGAATGACGTCAAGGGTTTTGCTTCTCTTTGCGTTACAGAGATGATGGACAGTAATGACCAGACCGCTGCCCTCCCATTCAGCCATTCCTATCCTGGACACAGACACACACAGGCCATTCCACTATCCGGAAATAAATCCACCCTTATAGCCATCATTTATATTTCTGAGGCACAGTATCTACATGCGCTTTTAGACAGCATTAGCACAAACATTCATACCATATCTGTCACACTAGAATAAGGGTTTTTTGTTGTTGTTGTTTGTCCATAAAATGAGTCCAGTGGCCAGTTGTATAAACATAGTCACTATGTTAAGACTGTGTCTAGCCAACTAGCAGTTAACCAAGAGGTAATCGGTCTAACTTTTCGATTCAAAGTAGACCAATCTGCTTTTTGAACTGACACAAAATGTTATGAAAGCCATGTATGCAACCAGTGTTCATTTGGACCACATTGACTTTCACACGGTATAGACAAAAATAGTTGAAACGTTCTTCAAAATATTTCCTTTTTAGAAACAAAAAAAGTCATTTGGGCTCAAATAAACGTTAAAAATATAAGAGTCTGCATATGTAGCAAACTTCATCCTCACAAATGGCACCAGTCATATCCACTTATGAAAAATATATATCTCAAAATGACAAATAGTTTGACTGTATGCTTCATATTTGTGCTTTCAAATCATCTGGTTCTAATGTCCCATAGACTTCCATTGTAAATGTACCCTTGTAAACACATCGTTTACTTAATTTTTACAAACTGAAGGAAGAGTCCAAACTATTTTCTATAAATTGTATTTGAAATATTGTCAAAAATACTCCTCAAAATACTGCTAGAGTGGATACTGAGCCTGTCAGCACTTTGGGGGCCTGTCATTGTTTCTGGTGTTTTGTAAACCATCGCCCTTGAAGGATATACGAGGCAGAAAAAGGACAGACATGCAGAGAGGGATTACATAACAAAAGCTGCAGCATTACACAAAGGTGCGTGTGTCTGCGTGTACGAGGAGGAGGATGGTAGTATGTGCTCGCACCTACAGTAGATTCCTAATGGTGTATTGTTAGAATCCTTCTGTTGCCACGCGTCCCTCGCACTCCTGCGCACACACGGCCCTCGTGTGTATTCTGCGTTTGCTTTTCTTCTCGAAATATATCATCATCAAACAGGGAAACTCATTCACCAACTCTCAAAGATTTCAAAATGTGTGTGTGATGTTGGAGGTGTTAGTCTGGGGATAGAACGGTAAAAGGGAGGGGACAGAAAGAGACAGTAGGCGAGAGGGAGCACTCACATCTCCACTGTTTTATAATTCAAACTAAAAGCTGGCTGTGTGCACATCGAAGCAGAAAAAATCCCATAACACTGTAAAACTATGAAAAAAAAGCATACGCACACCTATCTTATTTTCTCTACCTCAACTGCACACTGTCCTTGTGTACTTTTACCTACATTTACATTTATTCATTTAGCTGACGCTTTTATCCAAAGCGACTTACAATTGCTATATATGTCAGAGGTTGTGAGGTTAACAAGACACCTCACGACCTCTCACGTATATAGCAATATTTTTAGTTATAGTTAATAGAGTGCCGAAGTTACGACGTCACTCTGTAGGCCAAAACGCGGAAGTGAGTTAGCATTTTAGCACTACGGTTCCCTCGCTCTAAAGCCTATGGGATTTTTGAATGGGTTTTTTGCTAAATCGCCTGAAATAAGGTCTGTGGTGAACAAAGCTAAATATTTTCACGTTTTGATCTATGATGTAGGACACACAGTTATAACCTGCTTGTGTTTTTTTAAACTTTGTGTCTGATTGTGTTTTTTAAAATCTTTATATAGGCTTCAAAATGTATACATTTTGGATTAACTTGTAAAGTTATCTTGCTAGACTAAATGTGGAAGGGTCACAACTCTTTGTTGAATTTTCCAAAAGTCTATGGGGATAATGCATTGCTTTTTGACTGAGGGAACCCATGCGCCGCTAGCTTCCGAGTTGTCCTACAAAGTGACGTCATCACTTCGGCACTCTATAGCTCTGACATATTAACCTCAAATGGATGTTTATTTTTTTATCAGCACTTAGAAGATATTTCAGTTTACTAATATTAATATGGCTCAGTGTTTTGAAATGATGTTCAGAAAGGGTAAATTACTCTATTTGGAAAACAGAATGAAAAGACTGATGCTTGTTAATGATACGGTTTCTTGGTTTGTAAATAAGCTGAAGGTTTTTGTGCCGAAATCCTGCTGTGAAGTGAATTCACCCCTGCGTATCTTGTGCTTCTGTGTGCTTCATGCTGACTGACTGGTTTTATGTCACTGATCTGATCAGATTTACCACACTCATCACAACCTCACAGAATCTGATCCCTCAGCAACGACTGATTCACTCACACCTGCCAAACACACACACACACACATGGATCGCAGGGTCATGAAGGGACATATTGAGTAAATGGCAGTGTTAAACCAGTGATATACAACTGACATTTTACCACTCATGATTTTTGACAGCAATTCAACTGCAGTAGCAAACACGCATTTTAATGCGCGTCGAAGGGTGTGAATGCCTTTACAGTTGTGTGTGCAGTGTGCATGAACGTTTTAGGCATTACAGCTTCATAAACTGTACCTTTATTCAAAACTAAAATAACTCTTGACAGCAGCATCAAGATGAGGGTTTTACAGCGTTACCTTGGCAACCACAAACATGCAGAAGCAAATTGGATGGACCATTTAAGCAGTTATTTATGCAACTGTGACTGATGACAGATGTACTGTATGTTACTGTCTCAGCATGTATTTTCCGTTTACCGTTATTTAAAACCTGCAGATGTTTTAGTACAAACATTGTTTGTGACGATACTGATTTCTAATTTTTATTTTTCTCAAAGTAAAAATTACAAGTTAAGATAGCAGTGGTGGACAGTAACTTTGTTAATGTACAATTTTCAAGAATTTGTACTGTTAATTTTATTAAACTTGAGGCCACGCCTCGTAGGGCAGCGAAGCAAGTGCATTGTGGGAGTTGTTGTCTTTCATCCACATAAGCCAAAAATACATTTTCTGGCTTTTCTCAGTCTAGGAAGCTCCAAATTCAAAAATAATTTCACATTTCTTCTACATAAATGACCCATTTTAAATACACATTCATCTTTCCAGAGGTGAAGTATCCCTTTAAGGTTGCCATTTTTACATCCGGCTGGGGGACTACCAATAAAAATTAGCACTTTTGAGCTAACTCTGGGACATTCACATTGTTTTAAAGTTGATTAATGTACACGGTCCCCTTTCAAATAAAGAGAAAATGAAATCTAATTAGAGCTAAGTAGGTTATTTATGACTGCACAAAAATAATAAACGATCTATTGATCATTACTTTTACTTTTGATAAATGATATACTATTTTTAATTCACCTAAACAAAATACTACATATATAAAATGGGAATAATTAGTAAAATTAGTTATATTTTGTGCTTTTACTCAAGTAAAAATTTAAAGGAATACTTAAGTTTTTTATTTGAATATTATTAGGCTTATTAGGAACACCGATTCAATTTCTCATTAATGCAATTATCTAATTCACCAATCATATGGCCGTTGCTTCAATGTATTTAGGGGTTTGGTCCTGGTCAAGACAATCTCCTGAACTCTAAACTGAATGTCAGAATGGGAAAGAAAGGCGATTTAAGCAATTTTGAGCGTGGCATGGTTATTGGAGCCGGTCTGAGTATTTCACAAAAATATTGAGTATTTCCTTTGTGGGTTTACAAAGAATGGTGTGAAAAGGGAAAAACATCCAGAATGCAGCAGTCCTGTGGGTGAAAATGCCTTGTTGATGCTAGAGGTCAGAGGAGAATGGGCCGACTGATTCAAGCTGATAGAAGAGCAACTTTGACTGAAATAACTACTCGTGACAGTCGAGGTATGACAGAATATGTAAAATTGTTTTATGCCTTAGTTAAAAAAGTACTGTGCCACTGTTTTTTGACAGCTAGAAAAATTGTTCATTGTGGTATTTAACCTCATACAAATGTTGCTGATAGAGCTTATTTTGAGCTTTAATTGAACCTAAGAATATTTCTGTAGGGCTTTGAAAGAAGTGACTTGTCTCATCACTGCATTTTGGGAGTTGAGGATTATGAGGATTTATGCATACATTAAAAGTGAGAACACAGTCCCATAATCACAAATAGACTTCAATGTGTACTGTGTAATCACTGCTGCTGTTGTATCTAGGCCAAAATTGCCTATTTGACCACTGTATAAGTCTATTGGTGAATATAGAAAGTGTCCAGAAATATAACATATGTAGTCTTCCTGTGACATATTTTTCCATGTATAACAAGTTTTTTTCCTATCTGGGTCACAATCAAACAGTAAACATCATGACTAATTCATGGAGGCATGAGCTAATTAAAGGCTACCATTTGGCAATGGTTTCAGAGAGGCATTAATATCGCCACATTTTGTGTTTTCATATTTCAATGTATTGTTTAAGAAAACAGCATTAAAGCGCTAGAAAATCCATATTGCACTAAGACAACGATCCAGCTATTTTTTGAACAAGTGATGCAATTTTGACAAAAGTCCATTTACAAACAAGTGTAGGCGTGAAGAGCTCGACAGAGATACTATTCACCGAAGCTCTTATCAGTACCATTATTGTTTAAAAGATGCTTAACAGTAGTCTATATTTATGCAGAAGATGAATTTGGTTCTCCAGCTCCAATATGAATGTGTTTGCTGAAGTATATGATATATTTAACACATATGGATAAATATAACTATACACCATAAGCCGTTCCAATAAAGAGGCAGATCCTCTCTGAGCTATTATTAGTCTCCTCCTCAGACCCAGTTCCACTGAGAAACAAACTCAGGCAGAGATCCAAAACGTAGACACACTGAGGGCCATTTTATCATACTGACAGTCTTTTATTTTACTGTCTTTAAGTGGAACTGGGAAGGAATTTATGGGTAAGATAACAACTACATCTGGTTTTACAGAGTGTTGCAGTTATTTTGAACAGGATTTGATGTGATAAAATCGTAATAAAGTTCAATGTTTGCCTTTAAACAGTCAAAACAATGGGGACAATCAGGGATGTGGCCAGGCAGGTGCTTTGAGTTTTCTAGTTAGTACAGCATAAGAGGACGATCCCCGATTTTATTTTTCCCAATCCTAGCCTATTGTTTCCTGGCACTTCTATATTAAAGCCCATATAAATAAAAGAACAACAGGGTTTAGAAAAAAACTGATGTCCTTTAATCCCTTAATCCTCCTCAGTCATTTCTGGCAATTTAACAAGTCAGTTTAGAGTTGTTTGTGTTTCTGATCAGAATTTTTCTCTATTTTTCTGTCAAAGACAAAGCATTAGTTTCTACACTAATACTAGTGTTGAGATTAATGCTTTGGTCTGTCGTCTCCAACATGGGTTTGTTTGGCAGTAGTAGCTACGTAAGCATGGCGTCATCTTCTCTTTTTCCCCTTTTAAGACCATTGGCAACCAGCATTAAGTTGCAATACTACCACTTACTATGTTGGAGTATCAGCCAGTTGGTGCTGAATTATTTGCAGTATTATAATATGTAGTATCAACTCAATATCAACATGAAATGAATTATTGGCTATTCACAATATTATTGTATATGTAGTATTAGGTCAATATTAATATATATATTTTAGCTCTTTATTGTGACAAGCATAAATGTAAAAAAAAAAAAAATGTAGGAACTTTTATAATTTACACGAGGAGGAGGGATACATTTACATCTATATGGTGATTAACCTACACAGAATAGATAGTGTAGCTATAAACTGCTTAAATCATCTGGATTTACTCTTATTTACTAAATAGAAAGTGTCTGTCACTGTAGTAAGTGATTATATAAATAGCTTTAGAGATCTGCATTTATATTTTCCCATGAGTTTAGCGTGCTACAATCTACTTCCAGCTGTGCTCATGCTGTGCAGTGAAGTTTGAATGCAGTAACCTGTAATGTGGGTCCCAAGAAATTCTGCTATCAGATGTGGTCTGACATGGGCCAGTAGACATTGGAAAAAGTACTGGGAGGGAAAGAGAATGGTAGACAGCATTCACTTACCCGTTTGCGCAGGTTGTACGTAAGCAGGAGATTTCGTGAGAAGTGGTTGGAGAAGGCGGTGTAGAACTCTAGGACTTTCTGAAGCGCGTCCCGTTTGATCACGTGCAGGTCACAGTATGTTAGCGCTCTCACATTTGCGCACGCCTGAGCTAGAGTCACCTCCTTCCAGAACACATCCCCAAACACATCACCTTTACCTGCAGAGATACACAGACACTTTCTTACACACATATACAGGCCTGGTCTGTGTTTCTCGTTGATGTTAGAGACCATTGGCGGCAATGGTTAGGCCTATACTGAGGCTTACGATGCTTTTGGGAAACACAGCCCTGATTAATACATTTATAGAGGACTGTGGCTGTATAAATAACTGCCAGATTGATACTGTGTTTATTCCAAGTAATAAAGAGGTAATAATATATTATTGTACATGAATAGCAAAAAAATCACATTTTTTAATCAGTGTATTTGTTCTGTTGTCCTAGTTTATTGTACTTTTATTGTTTATTGTACCTGGCTTATTGTACAATAGCATTCAAATGTTCAGCGTCAGTAAAGTTTTTTTTTATAACGAGGGTTGGTTGCCAGTAAAAAAAAAAAAATAATTTTAAAAAAGATTTTCTGTTTTGTTCTGTTTTTTTTGTTTGTTTTTTTTACAAATCTATCACATAAATAAATTACATTTTATAGATAACAGTTATTTTGCAATAATTTTTCACAATATTACTGTTTTACTGTATTTTAATCCAATAAATGTAGCCTAAATGTTGCACAAGAAACCTCTTTCAAAAACATTAGAAAATCAAACACAAACCTTTGAAAGGTAGTGTATTATGACTTGTTTTCATTAAATATCTTGATTTTTATGTTGTTTCAAGGCATTTCACCTAAACTTGTTTACTTTTTTTCTATCAATCATTTTTTTGCAGCAAAAAAGAGAAAATACTGCAAATGGTCTTTTTGATTTTTTTCTTTCCTCATATTCTGTCTTAGATCAGATCATGTTTTCTGGGTTTTTTTGCGTGTGTAATTCAACTTATGTGAAACGCCACCAACACGTCAGATCAGAAGATTTAAGCAGTTGAAAGCACTGGTAAATTCTCATTCACAACAATATCATGGCAAGGCAGCATTCTTTTACACACGCAAACACGCTTTATGATGATTGGTCAACCCATGAGCATGTCTGACAGAGGAGAAATGATGATGAGACACATTCCCTCATTTCATAACTGAAATGAACAAATGCACAAAAGTCTTGTCCATCCATCTCTGTCTACTCACATCTAGGTTAAGTTGGAGTTACAGAGCCAAAATGTCCACTCAGATAAATTATTTACGGTTGTCTTAGTAAATGTTCTAGGATACAGATTCCTTCCTGCTAGCAGAGAGAGAGATCTAGAGTGTCACATTTGGTTTCAAAACATCAAGAATCAATGGACATCTATTTGACATCTATGATGCATCTTGATACACTAAATTTATATTTTAAATGTCACTTTTTATTTATCAAAGATTTAAAAAAAAAATATTATGGTAAAAATAATTAATGATGCTGAAAATTCAGCTTTGCTATCACAGGAATACATCATATTTTAAAATATATTATAATACAAAAAGGTTATTTTAAATGTGTAAAAATATAATTATTATTAAATAGTTTTATAATCTTGGTGAGTATAAGAGACTTCTTTCAAAAACGTAAAAAAAATACTGATCCCAAACTTTTGAATGCCAGTATATAAGAGTTTGTGTATAATTACTTAAATCATATGTTGTTCTCCACAGAAGTAAGAAATACAGGTTTGGAATGACATAGGCGTAAATAAATAAATAAGGCATGGTAGAATTTTCTTTTTTGGGTAAAATGTCCCTTTCATATATTTATCATATTCATATATTTATGACATCAGAAAATTGTAGATGTTTGGAATGAATCATATGTTGCAGCAAACCACTATGGGTTGAGAATTGTTGCATTATTCACAAATAAATAGATTAAGCTCCACAAATACATGTAAAGAGTTTAAAAAAAATAATATAAAACTCACAAATAAATAAAATGAGATGTGAGAAATGTGTCTTGGCTTGATACACAGTCTAATGGTCTAACTCTTACGAAATCCAAATTTTAAACATATTTTACTGTAGCAATATTATGGATCTTTGCCTTTCACTTCACATTTGAGCCAATGCAGATGATTCATTGATACAACCAAACGTGATTGGTTGTAGCGAACGTTCTATGATTGGTCAGCTCAATGTGGCCATTATCTGATTGGCTTGAGGAAACGGTGGGTGGAGTCCACTTACTTGTGTATTTGTCTGCACCTCGACACTAGAAGTGTTTCAAAATCCACAAATGCAGAAAGGGGATTTACAAATGAACAGGGACCGATTCACAAATGCGTGAGGAGATTTACAAATGCACAGAAAGCGGTTCATAAATAAATTCCAGGCAGAGTTGTGTTTCTGGAAAAAAAAAACATTTGTAATAATATATTTTTATTCGCAAATCTCATTTATTTTTGAGTTTTGTATTTTTTATGAAACTCTTCACATTTATTTGTGGATCATAATCTATTTATTTGGAATAATGCAACAATTCGCACCCTATAAACCACACACCTACAAACCTAAATTTATCACTGACTGTTTACTTGACAAATTACTGGAATAATAATAAAAAATTGAGAAGAAAAGTATATATATATATATATATATATATATATATATATATATATATATTTTGGATAATGACTACTCAATTTCTATTTATTTTTTGTCATTTTATTGAATGAATGAAATAATATGGAGCAAATGTGAGAAGTTTACAGTGTTTATAGAAAGGTTTATAGGTATAAGCAATCCTTTAAAAACACAGGCATTTAAAGTTTATAGTGCAATAAATCCTCACAGTTCATTGTGCGGCAAAGAAAATGTTTAGACATAAGAAGTCTACAGCAAGAAAGCTGGAATGCTTTCAACTCAATTACTGGCAGACAAGGATGAACTGATACTTATAGAGGATCTTAAAAACATACTTTAGCGAATAAATTCGCTAAAGTACTTTTCAAATAAATTTTTTATGTTATTTTTTATCATCACCATAGGCCATATTTTGTATTATTTAACACACAATATACTCACAGTTGAATTTTTTTTCCTCTTCATTTGATTTTATTATGTTCTATGAATGTTGAAGGTGAACATAAACACCTTGATCAAACAGGAATACAGGGTGCAGGATGTGGGGAGACACTAAAGGGAGAGGGATGGCACAGTGTGGTGGAGATATACGATCACATAGAAGCTCCGTGGATGCAAATAATCTTCCCATAGGAAACTAAACCCAGGACAGAAGGATGATGTCATGATGTGCAAAGTGCTAAAGATAATTAATGCGCCTTTGCTAAAAATATATCAAGGAAAATAATCAAATCCATACCTAGTCAATATTCTCTTACCCAGAATGGCGACCACCTCGTCATCTTGGATGACCTCCAGTGACCCTGACACCACAAAACATAGGCTGTCCACGCTCTCGCCCGCGTGGTAAATAAGATCGCCTGGAGCGCAGTGGATGGTCTGGAACTCCATGGCCAGGGCCCGCAAACAGCCGTCACTGGCCAGACGGAAAGCAGGATGTTCTTTAAAAACCTTCCGGTTCAGGTGTACGCATATATCAGCACGCATGTCTTTAGGACAGATCTGCAAAACCTGTAATAAGAGAGAGAAATATAAGACTTCATTGGTTATTCAGCTACAACTTAAAAACTAACTTAGACTTGGGACCTAGTTGGTTATAAAACCCTGACTATGATGTTCCTGCAACGCACTCTGAAACCCTCTACCTCCCCCAGCTCCACCTGTTTAGATCTGCTATGAGATTCATGTATGCCTATTCATGCAGCAGCAACTTTTCTAACACGCCCACAGCAGCATGTCTTTGGCAGTAGCATGTCCATACTTTCTCTGTAGCAGTAGAGTGTGCAGCAGATTAATGGTGCGTTCACGTGCTATGGAAAATAGGATATTTTCCACTTGTGAACTGGTATTTACCAGTGTGTTGCGTTCAAGTGCTTTTGTTGTTGTAATGTGGTAAAAAGATGGAGATCCAGACCTGTTATTTAGCTAAAACTACAGCAAGAAAATGATTTGTCAAAAATTTAAAAAGGTAAATAATGTGCTGTATATTTTCTAGATAATGAAAAGTATATCATTTTTTTACCATTCACGACGCTCGCGGTGCTCTCCGCCATTTTGAAAAGATCAAAGGTTATCTCATCAAAATATGCTACGAGTTGCCCAGTGGAAAATACCACATGAGGGGGTGTTCACATGCATTTTCCACGTCGGCTTTTGGTATTTACTGTACCATAATTACCATAGCACATGAACGCACCAATAGTCCACCAAGACCAAGTAAACTAACATTTTCAAATCCATTTACATGCTAAAACTCTCATGCTAGTATGAGAGTTGTTGATTGAAATGAATACATACATGGAAGATAAATCTTTTTTCTTGTTTTATTATTTTTACAATGATTGTTAGAATTTTTCCATTTTTATAAGCCCAGTTATCAAGTTACAGGAAGTTCAACTTCCAGCTGTTTTTGAATGCATTGCTCTGATGGCAGAAATATCCCTTATTCAGGAGTTTTTGCACCGCCTATGGGCATGATTAAATGCATCCATTTCTCTATTGTTTTATAGCAATACTGTCATGCCAATGAAGAATACTGTGAGGCTGACATAGAGAGACAGAGGTACAAGACGAGTGCCGGTGTGTATGTGTGCATCTGAGCGCATTAGCATGTGATATGTCCCTGAGCTGCCATTCCCAGCAGCACCTCACTTTTCCAGAGCATCTCCCTTTCTGCGTGTGGTTGTCACTGAGACATGGAGGCTGGCTCTGGGGAGGACAGTGCAAGTCTGTGTGTGATGAGACGGCTAAATCACGAGAAAGAGAGAGAAGGAGACAGTGTGAGCATTCCGACAATGTCCACCCAACGGGGACTTCATATCCACAGAGTCATGCTGTTCCCCTCCTGTGGTTTGAGTAGAAACGACAGGACGAGTCTAAACACACAGCGTGAAAAAGCATCTTGCTAAAGAATCACACTGATGTTTAAAAATACTTAGCCAGACACGCACACACACAAGACAGAGCAGAAGCGAATAACACATACACACACACACATTAGACAGGATGGTGGCTGCTGCATGTCCCGAGGTGTCCCGAGTTGCATGCTGGCCAATTGAAGTTGAGCATACAGGGTGTTCACCTTTTCAGTGTCAATACCGTGGGACATGGACCAGGTGGATGCGATATAATCCATAACTCTCTCGCTCAGGCCTTTGGGCACCTGGTACAGCTTGAGGAAGTCCCGCACGCTGTTAAGCATCTCGTGATATCGGTTAGTGTTGGCGTACATCTGCTGGAAGATAGTCGTCACATTACCGAAGATGGTGGCGTAGAGGAGAGCTATAAGAAAGGGAGAAATAAACTTTTTGGATTAGGGGACAGCACAGAGGAGGCACAGAATAAATAAAATTGTAATTATATACACAGTGGTTTTCAAAAGTCAAAGTCCACATTAAATATTAAAAATATTTTCAGTATTTTTTTAATCATTTATAATTTATTTATAGATATAGAAAAAATGTATTGCAAGAAAGAAAATCAAAAGAAGCTTCTAATAACTTTTCTTATTCATTTATTTAGATGGAAAAGATTTGATATATAGCCTTTAATATAGATATTAATATGTAGTTCATATTTGTATTCAGCAAGAACGCATCAAATAGATCAAAAGTGATAGAGGCTGTTTTAAATAAAATTGAGTTCATTGAACTTTCTATTTATCAAAGAATCTTGAAAATGCATTCACGGTTTCCAGTAAAATATTAAGCAGCACAGTTGTTTTAAAATAATGAGAAAGGTTTTGGAAACACCACATTTCTTAAGGATTTTCCAGCCAACACTGTTGACTGAAGTAATGGCTGGTGAAAAAACAGCTTTAAAATATATTAAACAGTGATTATAAATTGGAATTATATGTCACAATATTACTGTATTACTGAATTTTGTTCAAATAAATGCAGTCTTTGTCAGCATAAGAGACTTAATGACCCCAAACTTTTGAAAGGTAGAGAGAAAGAGAGTGCGTGTGTGTGTGTGTGTTCTGACATGCATTGTGTAGTTGCCAGTTACAAAAGCTACATGGAGAAATTTTTTTGCAAAAGTTACCAGTTTCAGAAAAGTGGGAGACAGAAATGATGATGATAAGTGACAGAGTGAATTGTAAATGAGTAAAAGCACAGGACAGAAAGGAGAAAATTCAATAAAGGCGAGTGATTGTCTCTTTTAAACTGAATTAGTCGGCCTGTAATGGCTCTGCACACAGAAGAAAATCTAATTACGCATGTAGGGACTCTTAGGTGTGTGTGTGCATGAGTATCCCCTCCTAAATACCTTTAGATGTGAATTATAAGCTGCCATTACTCTACAATCATGTCTTATGAACTCAGGAAACACAGCCCTGTTATATTAAAGGTAGTTCACTTATAAATAAAAATTCATTTACCCATCCTCATGTCATTCCACCATACCTCTATGCTGTTATTTTTATGAATATTTTGTGCAGCACTTTCTGTGCAATAACAGTTTGTAGAGACCATTCATGCTATCCCAAATCTTTTGAAGTAACTTCTTAAAACAGAAAGAAATTGAAGCAATTTTTTATTAAGTCTGATAATCTTACCCTCCAGTGAGCTATTAACTCAAGAGCTGGATCAGTCTGACGCATGAATGAGTCGTTCTGTCTGATTTGTGAACAGGTTGAATCAACTGGCTCAATTCATTCATGTATCAGACCAATTCGGTTCTCAGGTTCAGCTCACTGACTCGATCTGCATTATTGACCACTTTTATAGTGTGTTTTTGTTGTTTTTTTCAGATGGTAACAAAAATTAGAAAATATAAAAAATATCTCTGTGAAGATTTCTCAAAATACTCCTTTTGTGTTCCACAGAAAAACAGCATACAGGTTATGAATGACATGAGGGTGAGTAAACGATGACAGAATTTTTACATTTTTGGATGAACTTCCTTGAATCAGAAAAGCTCAAATTAGAGCAAACAATCAGGCCCGGTTCCCCAAAATTTTTGTATCGCTAAGTAGTTCTTAACGTATTCCTTAACCTCTCTCTTAACTTTATGGCACGATTCCCAACACGTTCGTACGCTAAGTATATCTTCTGTAAGTCACACTTTCATAAGGTTGGTCTGGACCATTCATAAGCTCTCTCTTAGCAATGTTTGAGCTCAAGACACTAGTCGCAGCCACTTTAGAAATCAGCGCAGTACAAGTCAAACTATGGTATGCTGACAATGTTGTGGCTCAACAATGATTTTATGTTATGGATATTTTAAGACTAATAATAAAATATGTTCGCAATTGATACAGGCCTATTTATGAAGTTGACAATTTGGTATCAGAACTAATATGGTGGTAATCAGAGCTGTGAAATTCTTAATAAATAAAAGTTGTTGTTTTTTTTTAAATAATATCTGTCCTTGAAGTAATCCAAAAGTAATCAGTTACATTACTTTCATATTGTGGTACTTGGATTACTTTACTGAATCCTTTTTTTAAGAAGGAAATTGTAAATGTAAAGGAATACATTTTTAAAGTAACCCTCCCAAGCCTGTTAATGAGACAACGCTTCACCGCCATTGATGGAAATTTCCAGCTTTCCATGTCTCCGCTGTTGTACGGTAGGGCACTCTTGATCATCGTTCTGAATCCAATCTAGACATCTATTGCAGATGTTGAAAAAAGTTCAATTGTTTTTAGTATTGTCAACTACCCAGCTGCAGTTTTCTGGGACCCTTGTATCTTGTATGTGTATGTGTGTGAAATCAGTGATGTACAGATATGCAGTGTGACAGTCTTTGCTGATCTGGGGACAGATTTGGCTCCAAGGTGACAAGAACGTGGAACAGAGCTGACAGCGACTTTCCTACTGAAAACATGAGCACACTCTAGATTGTCTGACACGACACATAGGACACAGACACGTCCAGATGTATCAATGCGGGAGGTCACAGGGTGGGCATTTGTTCACCCTGCAGTCTAAAAGTTCAACTTTTAACTGCTTTCACGGTTTAAGATGAACTGTCCTGTCAAATCACACGCACGCATTGTTTTTTTCATTGCAGAGATAGATGAATGTTCATTAACAAATGAACAAATAAGTGAGCCAGGCAGCTTATTACACACCCTCTCTTTACATTAACTGATGTACGCTCTTTAATCGTGTGAGTGAGATAGAGAAAGTGATTTGATCTTTGAGATTGCATGGATTGTCTAGGCAGCTCTTGACTGAATGCTCTGACCTGAACGCATGAATATATATCATATCTGAAGTTTTTTAAATGTGCTATCAAGTTTATATCTATAATTTATTGAATCAATTGTATATTTACGCACAGTACAAATGTCCCTTTAAAGTTTTCAGTGCAGAGAGAAAAATGAATGTCTTTTTTACTGTCAATTTTCTTGAGCAGCTCTCATGACAATGTAAGGCCCATCCAATCGGTTCAACGTTTCTTTTCAGCGTGGCAAAGTAGTTTAATTCCAATTCAACTTTTATCTGACTCCATTTTATTACAACCTCAAATGCCAAATGGCTATTCATCATTTATTTAATAGTTTAGCAACACATTTACTCTTATTGTATTCGTTCTTTTTCGGGTACCAAACTAGCACAGGGTCCTCACACCGGCTGTTCATTTTTATGCGGGCCCATGATCACAAACTCACCATTCTTGGTCACTAGACAGTGGTAATTGGCTGTTTAGAAGGCAGCCTTCACGCTTGCTCTATCTCAAATATTTAGCTTAGTCCCCATAGGTCTGTATACACTTGAATTAAAGCAACACTAGCTGTAGTCAGAGGTCATAACCACTACTGGATATTAGCAGACCAGATATAAGCAGACCAATGGTACGTCCCTGATAGCAGCTTTGGTTTGGTCATGCCATGGTTTCCCACATTCACTAGAGTAGCATTACATTAAACAGAGTTAAGTAAGGCTCATCCTATTTAGGTTGGTCAATCGGCATTTTGTTTTCCTAAACAGAAATTCCCTTTTTAGCCTTTACAGTCTTAGTACACTTGAACTAGTGCCAAGTGTTAGCCGGATCTCTAAAACTGCAGTTGATGTGCCCTAAGCTCCACTCAAAACTGGACTTTAGTCTGTTACTAACCTACAACGATGTACTAACAACTTTGTATCCACTGTATTCTGGTGGAAACAATTCCTCTTGCCACTTCACTAACGCTAGTTAGCAAGAGTTGTTAGCTTGTTTTGTAACAATAACTGGAGAAAATCAGATTTTTTTCTTAATGTGTAAGGACACTCACTGTCCAGCATCGCAATTGGTTATTTGCAAAAGTCAATTTCAGAAACAGAAACCCGTACACGCTTACTCACTAGATGTTCTCTCAGTAGATTCGAAGTTCTGCCAAGCCAGTGCCACCAGGTTCTTCAAAAAGTCTTGTCACAATCAATCCCAACATAGTATAAAATCACAGATGATTAAATGAATGAATGAATGAATGAATAATTTATTTCTTTTCATTTCCCTTTCCTCTTCAGAACATGGTCATTGATAACAGAGCATATCCAAACAAAAAATAATAAAAACAAAATCTCAGCATGTTCAAAAGAGAAGAAAAAGAATATAGAAAAAAAAATCAACAAATAATCACAATAATTTAGAAAACTTAATGCAATATAATTACAGTAATAAACAGGAGCCTGTACTCCGTCGATTCTTGCACCCAACAACACAACAAGATGACATTTTAAGCTCCTTATCGTATCCGAATCTGTGCTGGTTTGTATTGGCTGCCTGAAGTTTTCCCCTTGTTTTGCCTCAAGCTAACACCGTTGTGATGTCAGCGCAAAAAAGGTCTATTGACTGAACGTCACCGGTTTCCAAAAAAAAAAAAAAAAAATATCATGTTTTTGTTGTTTGTTGTTTTGACAATACCAGTATTGCTTTGAAAAACGTGCGCTTTGAAACCTAATTTCAGAAGCTTATTTAAAAAATAGAATAAAAAATTAACAAAAAGTTTTCTTTTTGTGTGTGTGTGTAAACTGCCTCTAAAACTATATGACTGACGCGTTAAAATTCTTCAATCCACTTTCTGTCTCCCCTCTCTTTCACACTCTCATTTTTAGTTCCCCTTAGCACAGCTAAAGCTGAGGTTTCATGAATTTAACATATTTTCTAAAAATAGACACATTTGGGTTATTCCGTTCCTTCTGAAGTACACAACAGCTCAAACTAGGAAACGGCATGTGATTTAGAGTGAAAACAATAAGGTACAGAACCACATTAATCTTCCTTGGCTTCATAAAGGAGATTTAAATCCATCAAACAATCTGTGTTTGTTCTCGTGTACTTTCTGT